AAAGTTTTCATTACTTAATTAGCGAATTGAAATTTCCAGAAACTAACATCAGATTCGAGATCCTTGACCTCGATTAACTTGCAAGAATCACTTTGTTAGGAACATCGTTAAGTTTTCATTGGTTTATGAAACGCTGCAATCTGATTGGCTTGGAAAAACAAACAAACAAACTTTAACCAGTTTTAACGCGGCTATAACCCTTTCTTTCAGAAAAGGGAATAAAAAGAGGTATATTTCAATACATATATAGTACATAAATTCTTACCTTGTATTTCATCGCTTTGGCTAGCCTAAAAATAGCATTTATTTAAATAATTAATTACTGTTCGATTTTTCATTCAAGATAATCTAGACAATACCAAAACTATGTGATAGCTAAATCCAACTCAACTCAAAACTAATTTACGGTTATGTTTTTTCGACCTAGATTGACGACAGTAAACTAGTCAGGAAACAACTACTACACTCAAGAAAAGAAGCCGCGAGTCATCTCAGATAGACAAGCTTTTACATTACGACCATCCATTATTGGACAAAACTTTCCATGGTTTATGTCGTAATGTCAAATAATTTCTCTCAATTTCAAACATGTCACTAAGAATCGCTGTATTTTTAACACAGGTCTCCAACTTTGGCAGAGAGTACACTAACTGTCTTCGGGAAAAGCGTTTACCTACAATATAGATGGCGCTGTTTCACAGGGGAATACACGGCTTTGATCAAAATCGTAAATATATCTTCTGCCACACTTGAGAACTCAGGTTCGGAAACTATGGTGATTCTTTAGTGGCAATCCGAAGTTAACAGGGATTTTCTTGACGTAGGTTATTTTAAGTGCAATGTCTGCTCTTTCAAGACTGATTCGTCTACAGATGCATTCCAATACTAAAAGGTAGTTTAAAAGCTTCGACCTCTCATAATAAATCCATGATAGCTATGATGAACTTATACATAGGTCGTTGATTGTTATATGTGATTTATTAGAGGGCGATCGGAGCTATCATTCGAAAAAAGATTCTTTGAAATGTGTAAATGGAATACAGTTTTATGGGCATTTTACTAATCTTGAGTGAATATTTTCATCTTATATCTTTTTAGGCAAAGGAGAGGTGGTGTTAAACCATGGAATCGGCCCATCCACCAAATCGAATTTTTCCGGCACCATACATTGAAGAAAGCTTTTTTGCTTATTTCCAGCTACAAGAAACTGTTTTGCACACTTTTCAGTGGCAAAAAGCGTACTTTCTCGTACCCGTCTTTTATGTTGCTTTTTATCCTCATTCAGATATCAGGAGATAATGTCATTGAAAGATTTAGTGTCCTGAAAATTTCCTTTTAGTCCCATCTGATAGAGCTCGACAGTCGTAGTTGGAAACTGGTCTGTACAGTAGTGGAATGCATCTGTGTTTGATATCATAGGCTAAAGTATAAACAAGAGCTGATTGGAAGTGAAATCAACAGAGTTTATCATGTCTTCGCTCTTTAAAGGCTTTTGTGAATCTGGAATGTGGACGAGTATTCAGGTAGCGTCATAAAAGGGTATCTTTTGTTCAAGTTTATTTCGAAGTTACTCTTGTTCTTCATTAGTACTATCATAAAAGTCAGAGATCTGACTAGCGTCACAGAAAAGATTGACGTAGTTTCCAGAGGATAACTGACGCTGCTTGGTTTGGTATCTTTTGAATGAGAGAGACCCTATCGCGTTTACAATATGACTGCAACACCCGACATGACGATTTCTAATTGCATCCCTATTTTAGAATTCTTTCTGAGGAAAATTCAATAAACGGACGGTGAGTAACTCGACTGCTGTGACAAGGTCTTGATGATCAATATTCTCCCATTTTGATGGAGATCTTATTAATTGGTTTTGTTGGGGAAACTGAAAGCAGACAAAAGGAACAACATTGTAGTTGAATTGAAATAAATAGATTGAATTACCTGTTCGAATGTTTTGCTCCTATTCAGTATAGATAACACTCGTTGTGTCACTCTTTTCATTTCAAGAGTGGAGATAACCATCGATGTCCAAAGCGGTTCATGAGAGAGCATACAATCAACATACATGTTTCTAAATGCGACAATGAAGAATTCTGCACGATGATGGAGAAGAAGTTCATCTGCTTCATTCTTCCATGCACTGTCTCTACAATTCGCCGTATTTCGGTGATGCATCTGGACTGATTATATTCTTTGGATGAGAACTGTCGACGACGATTTAGAAACGATGGCATTGATACTTCTAAACCGAGTTCTTACATTGCATCAGCAGAATCTATAGACCATCTGTCGAGCACGAGTACATCGCCCTTGAAATTTTTAACAGGGACAGTATGTCTTTTTAATATAGAATTGAAAAGCTCATCTCCTTCAACCAATTGAGAATGTCCTAAGTATATCTAGAGATGATGTTGTTAATATTGTCAGAGAAGAACGTTCTGAGACATGCAATCATGTAGCCGGTGGTCAGAACTAGCATCATTGGCTTCAATAACAATCTTTTTCTAAGCAGACTGAATGATTTTCTTTGGAATTCGTCGCACATGTAATTAATTCATGTATCGACTTATGTTGTTTTTAAAATTGACCTACGTAATCTTGTTCCTCAATTAATGAAATAAACATTGATTCTTGACCAACTGTGTTAGCCTTTGGAAGTCGAATCTAAGTTTCTAATAGGATCCTGGAAGATTAGGAAAGATCAATCAATCTAGAGATGCAATATAAAAGTTTCCCCAAATAGGGCAATGTCACTTGACTTGTATTCCTCGTGCAAAAGCCACCAATGGAATATTTGATAAAGAAAAGGCATTCATATTGTGTTTAGTTTTATTTGTTTGATTGCCAGCAAACATACTTCGATCTTTTCCCATGTATATTATATCATTGGTTTGCTCATTTTATACGTTTCTTGGACGAGAAAAAGAAAAAAACTGCTATGTGCAACATATGTTGATTCGTTTCTTTCGCTTTTTTTCGACATGGAGCTTCTTACAGTCGAGGAAATAATTAATGAAACAATTCTGATACTGATATAAAACAAGATAAGATATTCATGTTTTACTTGATATATATTTCTTTTAATCAGTATAGAAATAATTGTTAAACTGGAAAATAAGCACTATCGATAGAATCACTTTCGAAAGATGTTATATTGGCTTCGATCCAACATTGATTTCTCGAACCTGGATTAGTATGATTTGACCAAATCCAAGAAAATCCACGACAATTTATGGTTGATAAACATAAATTGCAACACTGTGTAAAAGTCATTGATGATTGAGATATTATATCACCACGAGGTATANCAGATAATTATTTAAATTCAGAATATTGTTTATATGAAATAATTGACAAGTAAAATTAATTTTTTGAAAAGTAATTACAGTACATTGAATTTGTTCTAGACATTTCAGTTGACATTGACGTATATTTAATGTAATTGTTTTTAGAAATGGCAAACAAGTTGTTGTTTCACATTTCAATCTTTGTTCCGGATAGAAGTTCATTTTAAATGATCGAATATTTTCCGTTTGTGTTTGTGTCTGTGTAATAAATAAAAATATCATTGGAAACAAAATACTTCTTAACATTTTAACGAACAAGGCTGTTATCAATATTAGAAATGAAAATGATATAATTTTCTTTTTCTTCTTCTTATGTTTTTTCCTTCAATAATATTATTCTTAAATTAATTGATATTTTATTCGGATTCTCTTAGCAAACCATATGTCTAAGAAACGAAAGCATGTCATCTATTTTAAGTATATAGTATTTTATATAAGAAAATAATTTCTCTTACTTTGTCTTATAACATAAAAAGAGAAAATTCTCATTCTTGGTTAACTGATAAAAATTTCAATTGTGAGTTAAAGAAAAGAGAACTTTGTATTTTGTTCATCAAAGATAAGTCTAGGAGATAAAAGACTTCAATGGAAAGAACTCCCTATTGATGAAAAAGATCATTTTGCAGCAAATTCATGTATAACAAATGAATATTAACTAATATAATCATTATAATGGCCTTTGTCTGGTAACGGTATTGTGGTATAATACTATAAGAATATAGAATTGATTAAGAAGTTCATCGTACAAATACGGATATATTGAGTATTGAATTCCTACCAATAGAGACGAATGAGACAAATGCTATAGCATCGTAGTATAGACAAACTATCGAAAATATATTTGTCGAAAAGAAATATTGTATTTTTAAAAAATAAATAATGCTCGTCGAGAGTGACTCGCATTACTCTCGACTAAAACAGTAGCTCAACAACGTACAATAGTTTTCATTCATGTTCCATACCAAAAAAATCAGAAATATCTAATTAGGTTTGACTTCTAGAACTGATTTCAGGATCGCTATCTATCTCTCTGTTTAGCGTGCATTTCTAAATAAAGATCATTGTGAAAATGAAACGGTAACTACTCAAGAGCGGGTAACTTGAACTTTCCACCTTTAAACACGCCTCCGTTTTTTAACGAAACGATGAATAGCATGAAGTGGCAAATCTCAAACTGTTACCAGTTTGAAAAGCTGAGTGTGAAAATTTTCAAAACTTGAAATTCAACTCAAGTATATTGTAAGGCTGAGTTGTTGGAAAGTTCCTGATGTTGTTAGAAAATTAACAATATTCTACTCGAGTTGACTGATAAATACGAAATATTTAGACATGTATATTGCTCGACAAGCTAGATGAGCAGATATCAGATATTTAGTCACGTATATTCCCAACAGGTTTCAGAACCAGATATCAGATATTTAGTCACGTATATTCCCAACAAGTTTCAGAACCAGATATCAGATATTTACTATTATCCTTCTCTGACTCAATAAGTTTTAAATAATGTACAAGTTCGTTGATAAAATATTTATGTATCATTTCAATGGTGCACCTATAGAGAAATTTGAAACTGCTGGAATATATAAAATGGCTATGATAAATAACGAATAAAAAAAACTAAATAAAGTCATGAAGTATGGATTCAAAGGATTGTCAAACCCCTTGCTCGAACGAACTTATACCAGTTGTCATACAATTTTTTAAATGAAATAACATTGTAAAAAATATTGTGGACTTTGGATAACTATATCCTCTGAAAGAGTTTTTGAACTTTGACATATACGAAAACATCTGCTCAGCAACTTGCGTATTAATCGAATTATAAATGTCTTTATGAGATGGATCATCAGGTCTCATAATTGTTTTACACATATGTCTTTTGTGATTTTTCACATGAAATCGATCAATTGCCATGGTTAATGATGTTAAAAATTCTGTAAATTCTGTTGACTTTAAATTATCTGAACCAAAGTGTTTCTCTACGAACAGCTTCAAGGTACAAGCGCAATCGTAGCACATAGCTGTTGGTAACGGACCATATCGTGATATTGTTAAAATATGGTGTAAAACACGTCGCACTATTATTAAATTAAACGAAAAGTATTTGTTTTATTTCATGCTGGTTAATATAAATCTTCTATAATTACTTCCTTCAGAACATGGTTGTTCTGTAAATCCAACTATAACCGAACAATTCAAGAATGTAGCTAAGAAACCATAAGAACTAATTTTTGAACTACAACCAATTCCAGATCTGAATACATTGCACAAATTATCATCATAACGACCATCTTTGTCAATGTACTCAATCAATGCCTCCTTATCTAAGTGTATTTCTTTATGGTCTTGATCAATAAGATGCACCGTAGCTGATGACAATATTGATGGTTGATGATGTTGACAAAATCTGTGATCGACATTAGGTGCTATAACAACGGAATATGATGAATTAATTAACAATGAAAAAAATTGACAATGATATGCTATCGGTCTTGAAACAATACGTTAAATCTTCAATAGCATCGCCGGATTTCACTCTTTTCATAGGATATTTCTTCTATTCTCTCTAGTATGAAATATGTGCGGTTCGATGTTATCCGATATATATTTTTTTTCTCTCTTCCCCTCTTATACATACATATGTATGTATCGAATATGTCTAGCACTTCAATTATTATCGTCTATACTCCACAAACATAAATTTACAACCAAACTCGAATCCCGAAGAGAATAATGATATGGTAAGAAAAACAAAATAATAGAAAGGACGATAACATATCGATATCATAAAAAAAACGAATAGTCCATCAATAATCACTTTTTTTCTCTCGTTTCAGCTTTATATTAGATCCTTACATTATGTTACAATATCGGATTTTATTTTAATTGATTGTAAAAATGTAAACCTGAACTTTTATAAATGAAAATATTTATAGGTATATTTCTTCAAGAACTATTTCGATCCAAATGAATTCACGTATATCTATGGGACAGATTAGTAAAAGCAAATTTACCTTTTCTTAAAGGAGAATATAAACATCCCATTTGAACCAGTCCAAATTCAGGTATTGTATCATCAAACACATTCTTATATTGACATATCAAACGATTTGCTTTCTGATGCCCATCAACAACAAAGACTTTTGAGCATGTAACTGGATCGCATGCTTTTGTAAATCGTTGATGTTGTGTCCAGAAACCAACGAAATGTTTATACAAATCCAATTTTGCCGCTAAAAAATAATCATTACATTCTTTTATATCTCTTACAGACATTGGTACAGCTACAACATTGTGTTTTGTCGTCATGAAGGTAAACTTTGCTATATTAATAATAAGCCATGTCATTTGGAGAACTTTTCCGTTTAGTATAGTTCTACGAAAATATGAGCGATAGATTTTGAAAAGTTACAATATGAATGACTTGTCTTACGTTTCACAATTATCAACTATTGTACTCATGAATGATTTATCTTCTCTTTCTCTAACTATTGCTATTCTTGAATTGTAGGCTTGTGTATATCCATCAAACGACAAAGTATTTTTGACCAGATGATGGTCAAAATCAAGTAATAAATTTTGATCAAATATTTGATTTCCATTCAGATAAATAAATCGATCATTTTTAATTGATTCGTTCGTAATAAATTTCATCTTATTTTTTGTATAAAAATTCGGAAAAATTTCTACACCACAAGCATCACAAGAACAAGTAGCAATCACTATGTAGAAAATAGAACTTCAATCATTCTCGATTAATGGAAAATTTAATGTAACATACGTGCTTTATAGTTACGTGTTAATGACAAAACCGTCTTTGGACGATGAGAGAAAACGACTTTTAATTCTTTCTTACAAACAACACATTCATCGGTATATGGCTTCAGATATAATTCACATGCACCATTAAATTCAGCAAATCTATCGTTCTGATACTTTTGAATCATTTCATTAACTGATTGTTGTTGAAACATATGATTATATGCTGGATTAATAGAGATAAATTCAATCATTGATTTTATCACATGAATTTCATACGACTTTTGATAATGTAAATTAATTATATTCATGATGTGATCATATCTATTTTGCAGTTCTTTTGGAAAAACCTTGTTGAGCATCATCGTGTGAAATATCTCATTTAAACCCATCGAACGTGTCATTAAAATTAAGGTATGTTCCGCATCAGTGAGTTCCACCAACTTTAGTGATGACGAAGAGTTGCTATCCATTCAATTCGATTATCTAAAAAAAAGATTAAAAAGCATATCAAGAAAATGTCATTTTGCAATGTTGATTGCTAATAGAATTTCCTTCTTGCGTTGTAATAGTAAAAATTCGTTAAAAATATATGTAAGAAGGCGAGTAAACAATATTTGAAGTCGAACTATATAAAGAAGGTAAAAATCAATAAGAAGACTGCGTAATTTCTGTCAAATTAAAGTAGAATTAATGAGAGGCCATTTAATTTTTTCTTAATTTCTTAGTTTGCGTTCGTGTTTGCGGATGTACACCATAGTTTTCATCAGTTTCGGCCTGCCTTTTACGACGATGTAGTTGTGATCTAGTATGTATTACTTCATTCTCCTCGGCGTGTTGATTTTGTTTTTCAGCATCTTTTGTGTTGTTATTTGTTGTCTTTTCTGTATAGTCTTTTATTGGTGAACGTTGTGGAATCGATGTTGACACCCCACTTTCAATATTTCTCTCGTCAATTATCATATCACATGGACGAAATTGTTCTTTATTCCATCGTACATGTTCCTTATAGAAGAAATTTGATCCCATCTTCTCAATAAACGTTTCTGACAAAGTCCAATTATTAGCGGTAAAAACATTGTCTTGTTGGTGAGGATAAAAGCATTTGAGATATTCTTCATACGTTAGGTTAACCTACAAAATCGATTTGGAAATTATTATCAAATATAAACAGTCTCAATATGAAAAGTATGATTATTAACCTCTTTCTGTAACAATTGGATGAATTCAAGTCTAGCTGCATCAGTGTTGGTCAATGGAGCACTTCTATCAAAAAAATATACGGTAAATGATCAAAATTTGTATAAATTTTTTTACTTAATCCATCCTTCTCTCAATATAGGTTTTTTGTTTTTCTCTGATACTTTTTTTGAACGACTTGGTTCAATCCAGAACTGATCTCCATATGTCAGTAGCTTTGAATCAATCAAACGTTTTACTGCATCCAACCTCAGTTGTGGTTTGTTACAAATTTGAGTAAGATCAGTTTTCGTATATACGACAGATTTCCAAGTCATTATATTTTTCATGACTTTTTTCACTGCAAGCTCATGTTTGGCATCGCAAGTATTTGTAACTAAATACAATAAAAACGAGACGATCTTCAATACAAAATAAAGGTAAAACACAAACTTTCTTTAACTGTTGGTGATGTTAATGTATGTGAACTGTTGGATTCAATATTATCAATTTGTTCAAAAGACATTGCTGATAAATTATCAATCCTTTCTGAAGAATGATTATTTTCAAGTGCAGATTCTTCTAATGAGAACAATAAAAGTGTAATAAAATTGATACGTTAAATATTGTAGTGCTTACGAGTCATAGGTATATCGGGTTGACTACTCAATGCCTCAATGTAACAATCATGCTGTGGCACGGAACTCTCTGCAACAATATTCTGGTGTATGTTAACTTGAATTGGTGTTATAGTTTGACCTGTTGCTTTAGATGCTGGTGCACAAAATGCCGTTGTAGTTGGTTGATTTCGATTATTTGTTTGCTGCGTACAAGTACCTACAGTCCAATTCTCAATATCATGAAATTGAACATCAAATGCATCTGGATCTTGGACAATAAAACTTCCAGTACCGACTTCATGAATAATCGAATTAGCAATATGACTTTGTATTATATTGGTCAATGCATCTCGATACTTCGCATATTGATTAACTAAACATGAACTACCTGCAAAGATTTTTAATGTCATCTTGGAAAGACTATTATTCGGTGGAATGGAACACTTTTCGTATATCGTACAATATTCATCGATGTTTATACCATGTTTCAACATCTTAGCAACGAATTCTTTTCGCATTGGATCATTTGTTGATGGTGGTGGTATTTTCATATACGCTTTGACATTGTGTCCTCGAATATTGGTCAAAAAGTAATTGTATTTCAATAAATTATCTTGCATCAGCTCGTTAATCGCACGTTCTCCCAAAGCTGGTCTATTTTTGATAATTCCACTAAACAACAAAAAACGTTATAGATATCAATCAGTTACTTTAAATCAAGATCTTTCTTTAATACATACGTTTCGCCGGTGATAGGATGCTTCACACTTATCGCTGATGTCGGAAATATGTTAAAGTCCAGGTACATTATCAATTCTTTAAGTGACTTTTGTCGAGCTGAAACGGAAGGTGGTAATGAAATCAAATTAGTTGGAGAAGTGTAATCAATCGTGAATAGTTTTGTAACAATTCGAAGATAATATTCATACAATTCCCATCCAATTAATACTGCATCTTTACTAACAATAATCATTGGATCTGTTACTACTTTTTCATCTTCCATGCTTAACAGGTAAGTTTTATCGTACTTGTAATAATCCTTTTTAATAATTTCTTCGACAGTTCTTATAAAACTTTCGTTAATGAAAGAATTCGGGTTGTCACCTTCACTAAAAGCAACAAAATCTTTCACCTGCTCAAGTATATGCATACAATTTAAAAATAATTGAACTAAGCAAGCCAAGCGAGGAACTATTGCTTTCGCCTTGGCATAAAAGTCCGTTATTTGTTGTTGCTGATTTTGTTTCATATTGTGATTGTCGACTAAATCAGCAATAAGATTCCAAATGGTAAACATAGCGGAGCTGGGTGCTTGTGTTTGATCGTCAATATTTTGTGATGATGGTACTTGATTGGATGTTACTATGATAATAAAATGAAATCGAGCAATGTCTTATCAATTTAATAGATCTTTTACCACCCGCAAATTTCATTCGCTCCGCTTCCGACATCTCAAACACATATCTGACTGACCCAAAGAGATGCGAAATCACACATAAGTGAGTAAAAGATGGACTCTTCTTCAGATCATTATTGATTTGAAAACTAAAAGAAGAAGATCATACATCAATTCATGTTTGATGATACTATTATGATCTCACTGTTGAGGTCTTGAACACAAGACCTTAGGTATGCACATGTAAAGAAACCGATTGTGAGATCCATCAAAACCGGTGCAATTTAACCAATTTCTCATATTTTTCATTAATTTACCACCTGTTGTAGCAATCAAGATTGTTAAGCGTTTATCTTTAATTTCAACACATGTTGATCCAGTAGTTCTTAGTGAATTATCAAATCTAATAGCAAAAATTGTGCAATTAATGTATATGGTGTCATTATTGATATTACCCATCATGTCCAACTAATAATAAGTTCCTATCGTGTTCTTTGGTCGGATCATTCACATTGTAGATTCCGTATTGCTCGGCGATAACATCAGCATCATCATTTAACAATATTTTACTATTAGACGATAAATGATTACGTAACCCAATATGATTGGTATGCGTTACAATTGATGACATGTTTGTTTCTGTTGGTGCACCATTTACGATGACAGGTTTCAAATATGTAAGTGGAAAAAGTTTCTCTGTTTTGCTGATTGCTTTATCCACTTGTTTAAACGCATAAGTTTTACCACTGCCTTCAAAAACAAACAGTCAGAAAAAATAAAAACCTAAGAGAGAAAAGGAGACTTCGAACTTTGAAACTTTAAAGAATTCCGTAGGATTCCAAAGTACTGCAAAACTCCATGAGGCATCACTACATCTGAAAAATCGCTTGAAATCGCATGAAGTCTTACGGAATCCGTAGATGAAGAAAAAACGTTGGTACCTCTACCAAAACTTTTCCTAATTTTTTTCTGCTCATGCGCATGATCTTCTGGAACTTCTTGGACAAGATTGTGATACTCTATGGACACATCTTGAGATCAAGTCTTGACAAGCGCTTGAGTAAAAAAGTTCGCCTAGGGATATCTCCATTGTTATTGATCTATATTAAATTTTCTCCATTGAGTCATCATCGTTTTCTATATCCTATCGTATGAAATATGGAAAATACTCATATAAAATTCTTCCTTCTTCTCCCGGAATAGAAAAATACGTATTTAAAAAAGAAACTATAATAGATTATATTCGATATTTTTCCTCAATTATTCTGTCGCATATTATTTAAACATACCACTTGGCCCCAACAACCATAAATACAATTGGACAGGACATGGATCGGAAGAACTGAAATAAGTGTAATAAGAATTCTGGGAGAAATGAGACATCATGCCTAATGATAAAAAGAAAGACAAAGATGTTTCATAATTGTAAATGTTTTTGTATGCTTTTAATAGTTGCATTTGCGGTGGATTCAGAATATCACTCATTTCAATATTCATATTAGATGCTAATGATATATTTGTTAAGATCATTTCGGAAATTGTTTTGTCATCGATAAAAGAAGAACGTTTTGTCATAATGAATTGAACACAAAAGATAAGTACGAATATATGGATATAAATGTATAACCTTGACATAAAAAAGAAATAGCTTTCATTCATAAACAAGACGAACATCGTTATCGTAAGCAGAAAAGAGCTAAAAACGAATTGTTATCCTTCCTAATCTATTTGTATTGTGTTAACATAGCTCCTCCAGTATTTAGTCGACACTTACTTGACTACTTGACTTCGATGCTAAGCGTTAAATTTTTTACTGTATATACTTAGAATCAAGACAAAATCTTTTTTTAAATAGGCATGAATACAAAAGACATATATCATATAGTGAATACTTTTTAGAAATCATCGTTTATCTTATTAGATGATTAAACAAAATACGAAATCTGATATCTATTGCAAAACATAGAAATATCGTATGACATGCCCTCGATCAGCTGGTTTCCATATGTTGTTCTTGTATTTTTTTTCCTCTTCACCATCTTTCATATGCTCTCGATCAGCTGATATCCATATATCGTTCTCCTTTTTCTCGTTCTTTCCATGTATGTACACTTAATCAGCTGAGATATATGTGACTATGTTCTCTCTTTCTTTTCTTTTCGCTAAACCCTTGATTAGATGTTTCTATTCGTTTTCTTATTTATATTTTGCACTTAACGGAGAAAACATCTGTCATCAATATGCTAAAAAATGATTCGAAGAACATTAGATTTTTTAAATCAATCAATCCCTAAATTTTCGTCGACAACAGCTGCTACAATTCGTTCTCCTATCTCTTTATCTTCGTTTCATATGTGATCACTTGCCATGAAATACTATAAAGGTGTTCTAGCATCGTTCTTCGTTCATCCAAACCGTTTTGAAATCGTTTTCTTTTAATCCTACATCTGACCAAAGAAATGAAACATCACATGTTTCTATAAATTTCTTCCGCAATCGTCTACCACTATACAATTTTACGTTCCAATCATTTTCTCATATACTTTGATTTTCAACATGTACAATATCTGATGACTCAATCAGATAAATAGCAGCATTTCCGTTATGCACACTAAGAAACAATTAAACTTTGTTTTAATTCTCCTTTTAAATTCTGATTATGACCTTCTATCGAAAACCAGAACATAGAGGACAATTAAGATAACTCAAACATATAAGTAACATCAATATTCACAAATAATTTTTCTTTGTCATAAAAAGGTTTTTTTAAAACTTCTGACAGTCACCGAAGGGTCAAAACTTTCCCTAAAGATCTTCTCGTTATTTCAGTTATATTAATCATAGGTAGGTACATCATATAACGAAACTACTTTAACCCAATATCGAACATAAAATCCGCGAGCTATCACTCATTCAATCCTTATTCATTGTACTTCACTCAATTTTTGTATATATATATGGATAAATTGTTGCACTTTAACATGTATGGAAAGTGAAAACTTTCTATGTAAAACTGAATATCTGATATCTGCATATCTGTTGATGCCAATGTCCATAGAGATATATGGATGAATTGTTGCACTTTGACATGTATGGAAAGTGAAAACTTTCTATGTGAAAGCACAGATATGATAGTTATCTGCTCACTGAAACTGTGCACATTCAGTTGCGTGCGTGTATGTGGTCCATACCATATATATATATAGATAGATAGATAGATAAGTAGAACTTATGCTGCGAACGAAACGTCTTAATTTATGTGCTACGATCTAATGGTGTTTATGGAAATAAATATCTGATTTTCGCAACCGCAGAAGACAAGAAGAAAATGCTATTTAATAAAAACTGGTTACAGTTTGAGATTTGCCATGCCCTCATGAATAGTGTGAAATAAAATACGATTACCTATAGATTTCAGAATCAAACTGGCATGTCTTTTCTCATCCGTACAACAGAATATTTCACTGGAAACAGCTCCGTAATCCTCCCAAATTCTGATTTTACTGTTCTATTTTATTCATCACGACGTTTAATTGAACAGTCTTTACTGAGATAATCAACAAATAGAGGAGTGACGCTCATCCTTCGGATTCGCTGAGCTATTTTTGAAACAGAATTGACATTGCGTCAGTGTGATTCTGGGAAGGAAACTGTAGAGATGTGATGCTATTTTCTAAGTCACTATAATTCGAATACGTTAGTTTTTCATGCCTAGCTAAATCCAACAGTAGAATCAGAAACGTCCATTTGGTTTTTCTTCACATATATCTATTGAAAATTCTACCAGATAATCTATCACATAGTGGTTAGCGGTACAAAAACTCTTAAACACTCCTGGTATAAGTCTCATACTTATTCTATGGTTTACCTCGACTGTGTTTTTTTAATCAATTTACTACTAAGTTTTACAGTTAAAAGTCGTAAATGGCTCGATTCACACATAAAGACGCAAGTACCAATCAGTTCACTAGCTTCCATTACAATGTCAAATAGAAGTATGCACGAATCTTTTTCCTGAGCAGAAATCAGTTCGAGAGAATTCCCGTCAGATTTATGGATATTGCTATCGGTAAATATTGATCGAATTCAAACAGACGCTCGCACGATTTCAGCTTCTTGATGGCAAGACAAGGATCAGCATAGGTCATGAACAATACTTCACACAAAAGCTAACGGCGGATTCTAGATCTTCGACGTCAATCACCTCTTGGTTCACTTTTTCGCGTCAACTAAATTATTTTTCGCTAGTTTAGTGAGTACTTAGTTTTCATTGGATGGGAGAGGCAAACTATTGGCATTCCAAGCTGTTGTTTTTAGCGCTTCATAACCTTTTATTTCAGAAAAAGGAATCAACTTATCAAATCACAGCCTTCCTCTCAGATCGCATGACCGTTATACAAAATACGTGTTTAGATACATGCCCATTGATAAAATAAATAGATGGAAGATGCTAGCTAATTTTAGTAATGCACTCATATTTTCAGTCTGTTATAACGATCACATGTTTCAAATATGTTCTCCGTAACATGTTGTTGATACTTTAGCTATATTCAGTTTAAAGATCATCCGTAATTGAAACAGGAGCTGTGCCTGAATAGAATTCTACACTTCGTAGCATCCAGCACATCTAACATAATACCATTGGGTGAAAAAAGAATGAGAGGACGACCAGGAAAAGTAACCAAAGCTTTATTAATACAATAATGGTTCGTTTAAATTATTTACTTAGAAATCTTTTCAATGGAGTACTTAGAAGAAACTAAATTTTTTACTTAGTATTTGAATGTGAGCTAATATACACGTTGTATTTATGAATAGAAAAAATTTGGAAAAGAATATGTGTTTGATTATAGCTATTGCAACGTCCTTGAAAGAAATATTCATTTTGTAGAATTAAGATTAATGACGATGAAAGTATATGTCAAATCATGGTCACTATTGTGTCGTGAAAAGAAACATTGTGTTTCGATCTCAGCGTATATCTGTCACCATGATGAGAAGAATCTATAGAAATACTCAGTGTGAATTCATTCGTCCGAATTATTTTCAGTGGCGCATAAAGTTTGAAAGATGTTCTTTTCCGACGATGTATAATTTCTTATACCCTATACATTGAGATGCATTTATTTAAGCATACCGCCTTGCGTTCATTTAAGATCTAAACTATGCGCGCCGATGTGAAGAAGCTATCTGATAGGACCTCTCTATGAGTCGTAAGAGGAATGAAATTGAAGCATGAACTTATATGCGTAAATCAGTTTACTAGAGAATCGAGGAAAATGCTGAATTAATGTGATTGGGTCACTTCTTTATCTGCTTCATTTTTCTCGACCCAAAGAAGAAAACAAAAAAACAAGTTCTTCTTACAAGCATTTATGTATGATAGATCTTAAATATGTGTGATGTTTCTTTTAGTCATTTCTTCGAACAAGGCAACACTTCGACGACGATGTATTCAAATTTTTTAATTTCTAATGAAGTTCAATTTTGGCTATTTTTAACTGCATTTATTCCATCTGTTGGCTGTTCGATCTTTGTCCTTTACCACTTAATATCTAATCGAACTCAACGTCATGCCATCAACAATCGAGTTATTATCGTTCTTATATCCAATAACCTGATCTATGAGCTTATTGATATCCCATTGTTTCTCAACTATTATCGTTTAGAGGCTGTCTGGCCTAATACGCCAGGTTTATGTTTAATGTGGATTTTCATTGATGAAGCACTGTATTCTATTTCAACGGTAGTTCTTGCTTGGGCATCCATTGAACGACATATTCTTATTTTTCACAATCGATGGTGGTCGAGCACTAGAAGACGTCGCCTTATTCATTTTATTCCTTTAGTATCACTCGTATTCTATATAATTATATTCCATACTGTCTTTATTCTACTACCACTCTGTGAAAATACGTATGACTATACACAGGAGCTGTGTGGTCATAAAATTTGTTTACACAATACAAAGATTGTTGGCACATGGGATAGTATTATGAATGATATTTTGCCAACGCTAATAATTGTTGGCTTTAGCATTGCTCTTCTAGTTCGTGTTCTCCTCCAAAATCGTCGCGTCCATCAACATATTCAATGGCGAAAACATCGAAAAATGGCAATTCAGTTATTGTCGATTTCTATTCTCTATTCTTTGCTTTACATTCCAATAATGTGCATTGTATTGGCACAACTATGCTGTATATCCCAAGATAGCGGTGACATTTTTATACAATATGGGAGATTCTTTTCTTATTACGTTACATTTCTCCTTCCATTTGTATGTTTTATTACATTATCTAAATGTTCATACAAATTCAAGGACATGTTCCCAAATTGGCACCGGCCAGCACGATTGATTCATCCTATGCCGTTGCCAATGATGACAGTTGCAGCAGAACGGCCAAATATAATGTAAACTATCACATAATGTTCAGTATTGAAGAGTTGTTTTTGGAGAAAATAGAATTGTCAATTAATAAAGCATAGGAGCCGATAAGGATGCAAATCAGATCATTCTCTGTTTTCGATATCATCCCGAAGCTGAGTGTGAGGGTGTGGGTGAAAAAGAGATACCTTGCCCCACACCCTCTTCTTTTCAACATTAAAAAAATCTTCTAGACCCAAGGTCAATTGGGAACATAAGTACCTGAACGATAGAGAACAACATATGTAAAAGAAACGATAAAAGTCGATATATGATAAAAGACTGGAATTCTTTTTTCTTATATTTTTCCATTTTCGATCAATTCTATCTTTCGGTATTTTTCGTTTTTGATTTTATTGCCTGCTCGTCATTTTTGCTTTCGACGCTTTTTTCATTCGACATTATTCAGTAGAGTCGTTGACGTCGAATGAATGAACACGGGAATTGGTTCGCTATTTATAGCCTAATATGAGAATGATTAACATGAATTTATCTTTTGTTTAGTCTAGACTACTTCCTGTCAATCCTATCGATCAATGCCAATAACCATATCTAATTCTTCACTCATTAAGTGTTTCATTTTTAGCATCCTTTTCTCGTCTATAATTTTTATTCACTAATATCCGGTTCTCATCACTTGAAAAAGATAGTAGTGTCCGTTTTTCTTTTCTTTACTATATGATGGTTCACTTAGACATGCTGTTGTCAAATACAGGGATAACATGTTAGCTATTAGAAAAAACCTTATTACTCACCATAATATATGACGCTACTACTATCGAGAAAAAAAAGAAACTCAATAATAACAGGAATTTGTTTAAAATAACAAACGATTATTGTTTTCAATTCACTCTTTAGCTCTTCCGAATGATGTTTTAAGCATTTTCAGTAAAAATGTTTTTTTTTGACCTTCGATCATTGAGCACAATCCTCATATACATCCTTTCTTATCAACATCTACCTTCAAAGCATATTTTAGGAATATGAAGCTTTAAAAGTACTAATAAATCGTGACTTTTGACCCCGACACAAACTTTTTTTGTGTATGACCCTCCTTTCAGTCGAGAGAATAATTCATACATACGTCTGTCTAAAATACTATTTTTGAAGCATTCTCAATCTTTCCAAAGCAATCGATCATCGTCAGTTTACTTCAACTGCAATTCAAATCAAAACACTAAAGCGTAGATACTATAACTCACATGCGACCAACTTCATCAATATTAACAATTACAAGGTGAGGAAACACCAAAACAATGTCCTAACAGATTCGGACAGCACACAGCATCAGCACGATACATGCGTCTTTGAATCTCATCGAAAACAGCTCATTTTGCCATGATTTGACCTTGAGATCAACTTTTTCTTTTGCAAATGTTTAATTTGAACTAGATTATACGAAATCATAGGTCATTTGACGAGCCCCTTAAACAAAGACGAAACGCGTCGTGAGTGCTTGGAATTGTTTCTTCTCTATGTTAAACTCACCCTCATCGAGAATTTGAGATATGTTTAACTTCTTAGTATTATATTGTACGCATTAAGGATTTATTCTTAGTAAACTTTATAAAAATCACTTCGAATTGTGTGAAATAATATATTTCAAGTAAAGAAATATTGCAGGATTTTCTTTAAAAAGCTGAACTCCTGAAAGATAAGAGTTTAGTACAAAGCGATAACCAAAAGAACTGTCAATGATGATGATGATGATGACGATGACATTTTTCTTCTTATCATCATTACATCTTCAGTTTTGTCATCTATTTTAATGTGCATGCTTTTGCCTTTTCACGTCGATGCGTGGATTANGGCGAAAACATCGAAAAATGGCAATTCAGTTATTGTCGATTTCTATTCTCTATTCTTTGCTTTACATTCCAATAATGTGCATTGTATTGGCACAACTGTGCTGTATATCCCAAGATACCGGTGACATTTTTATACAATATGGGAGATTCTTTTCTTATTACGTTACATTTCTTCTTCCATTTGTATGCTTTATCACATTATCTAAATGTTCATACAAGTTTAAGAACTTGTTCCCGAATTGGCACCGACCAGCACGATTGATTCATCCTATACCGTTGCCAATGATGACAGTCGCAGCAGAACGGCCAAATATAATGTAAACTATCACATAATGTTGCGTGTTGAAGAGTTGTTGTCGGTGGAAATAAAATTGTCAATTAATAAAGGATAGGAGCCGATAAGGATGCAAATCAGACCATTCTCTGTTTTTTATGTAATCCTGAAGTTGAGTGTGAATGAGGATGAAGAAGATACACCTTGAGCCACACCCATACCCTCACCTACACCCTCGGTAATCATTTAAAGATAATAGTAATCGATTTTCATTTGATTTGAGAAATGTTAATTCGACATTTTCTTTTCCCATTGTATCCATTAGTTAAGAAGGGAAAAAATGAATATGTAATGATGATTTCTCTGTTTATTTCGATTTATATAGATCATGGACAAAGGAGAAGTCAATAGCAACTTCTTCTTTTCAACATAAAAAAAAATTTTAGACCCAAGGTCAATTGGGAACATAAGTACCTGAACGATAGAGAAACATACAGAAGAACGAAAGAGAACAACATATGTAAAAGAAACGATAAAAGTCGATATATGATAGAAGACTGAAATTCTTTTTTCTTATATTTTCCCTTTTTATCATTTCTTTTTCGATGTTATTGCTTGTGCGTCATTTTTGCTTTCGACGCTTTTTTCATTCGACATTATTCAGTAGAATTGTTGACGTCGAATGAATGAACACGTGAACTGATTCGCTATTTATAGCCTAACATGAGAATGATTCATATGAATTTATCTTTTGTTTAGTCTAGACTACTTCCTGTCAATCCTATTGATCAATGCCAATAACCATATCTAATTCTTCACTCATTAAGTGTTTCCTTTTTAGCATCCTTTTCTTATCTATAATTTTCATTCACTAATATCCGGTTCTCATCACTTGAAAAAGATAGTAGTGTCCGTTTTTCTTTTCTTTACTATATGATGGCTCACCCAGACATACTGTTGTCAAATACAGGGATAAAATGTTAGCCATTAGGAAAAAGCTTATTACTCAGCAATAACAGAAACTTGTTTAACATAACAAACGATTATTGTTTTCAATTCACTCCTTAGCTCTTCCAAATGATGTTTTAAGCATTTTCAGTAAAAATGTTTTTTCGACATTTGATCCTTGAACACAATCCTCACCTGCATCCTTTCTTATCAATATATACCTCCAAAGCATGTTTTAGGAATATGAAGCTTTAAGAGTACTAATAAATCGTAACTTTTGACCCCGACACAAGCATACAGACATACAAACTTTTTTGTGTATGACTCTCCTTTCAGTCGAGAGAATAATTCATACATACGTCTGTCTAAAATACTATTTTTGAAGCATTGTCTCATGTAAATCACTGGGAAAAATTCTTACCCACATGCATTCCTTTCTAAAAAGGCCAAAATTCACTTTCTCATAACGATTATATATACCGAAAGTATTTCTCGTACTGTATTCATTATTCATTTCAAAGTAAATAGTATACTTCTTCTTATAGACCATATAAAATACAGTATTTTTCATTACATTCTGGTTACAACAAGTTTCTTTAGCCATACATAGACCATGTTAATCGTGAAATGCAAGAATTTCGAAAGCATTCTCTATCTTTCCAAAGCAATCGACTGTCGTCAATTTACTTCAATTGCAATTCAAACCAAAACACTGAAACCTAGATACTATAATTCACATGCGACCAACTTCATCAATATCAATAATTACAAGGTGAGAAAGCACCAAAACAATTTCCTAACAGATTTGGACAGCACACACCATCAGCACGATGCATTCGTCTTTGGGTCTCGTCGGAAACAGTTCATTTTGCCATGATTTGGCTTGAAATCATCATTTTCTTTTACAAATGTTTAATTTGAGCTAGATTATACGAAACCAGTAGCCATCTGACGGGCCCCTTCAACAAGAACGAAACGCGTTGTGAGTGCTCGGAATTGTTTCTTCTCTATGTTAAGCTCACCATTATCGAGAATTTGAGATATGTTTAACTTCTTAGTAAACTTTATAAAATCACTTAATATGGTGTGGAATAATATATTTCAAGTAAGGAAATATTACAGGATTTTCTTTAAGAAGCTGCACTCTTAAAAGATAAAAGTTTAGTACAAAGAGATAACCAAAAGATCTGTCAATGATGATGATGATGACGATGACATTTTTCTTCTTATCATCATCATTACATCTTCAGTTTTGTCATCTATTTTAATGTGCATGCTGTTGCCTTTTCACGTCGATGCGTAGATTAGTTACAACTTTAAGAATGCAGGTAAGATATTACTATTGCGCATTACTTTCACACATTATGAAAAATAGCAAACGTTTCTTTTCCTGTTTTAGTTCATTATTTTCTTTCTTCTATTTGGTACAATTACCAGTGATTTATCATTCGAATGGAATAAATTCAAACAGGATTATAATAAACAATATAAAACAATTGCTGAAGAAAATGAACGTCAACAAATATTCATTAACAATGTGAATCGAATGCGTTCTTATCAACGAACGCATCCTGATGCTACATTTACAATGACAATCAACAATCTAATGGATCAACGTACTGAAGTAATCTTTCATTATATGTTCTCGATAGATAGAATAGTCCCAACAAATTATAGGAACTTGTATCAGGACGAAGGCTTCCTCTTAATTTTCCTTCATTTTCATCCAAGAATTCTATCGACATGAAACAATTGCCCGAATCACTTGATTGGCGTACAAAAAATGTGATTTCACCAGTTTTTCTAGATAAAGTCCGATATGATGTCACTGCCGTTGTCAGTACTGGTAAGCATAAATAGAAAGATCTACAAGATTCATTGCTCATTTCGTAGAACTGGTGGAAACACTCTATGCGTTAGAAACTGGCAATCTTATCAAAGGCAGCATATCACGAGTGGACGATTGTTGTCCACAGCCAACTGATGCTTTCGAATGTATAAAAAATATGAGTGGTATTTGTCGTAATAGTGACTATCCAATTACTCTTGGCTCATGTGAACCGAATAAATGTAAACCATTTACTACAGTTAGTATTGACGATATATACGTAAAAAGTTTTTTTGAAGTAAATTTCAATGATCTAGTTTGATAAAATCAAGAGACTCGAAAAACCAGACGAGAATGTTATGTTAGCTTGGATTCAAGATTCTACTTTATGGGCGGAAATGAACCTTTCTGGAAAAGGTTTTCAAGCATATACTACAGGTATGAAATTGCATACTTTGATATACTTTTCAATGGTTTTCTTTTTGATTTTAAGGTATTTACGATGAACCATCATGTTCGCAGAGTCGCATCGATGATGTGGTAAAAGATGAATTTGTGTATACATTAGATTATCACTTTATTTAAAGGTACAAATTGTTGGTTATGGCATTGAAGCGGGTAAACCCTACTGGATATGTAAAAATAACTGGGGTATGTACTATAATTTCATATGTATTTATTTCGATGATTTTTTTTATCGTTTTAGGTGAAAAATGGGGTGAAAAGGGATATTTTCGAGTTGTACGTGGAAAAAACATGTGCCATATTTCTGAAATAGTCATACAAGTAGCTAATGAAAAGAAAAGTGATGGCACACGACAATATACTATTGCTTCAATTCCATTCGCTTTTATTTTAGCACTCATTTCTCGATTGTTCAGTTGACTGAACTCAGACTTGAGCGTGTCCATATTTTTAGTCGATTTATCAACTTTTGTTTTGTTACCGAAACTCTTGTAAATTTATAAACATACACATCGATGTACTATCACGAATTCAGTTGACTTTATCATGATGAGGGTGTGCGACAAAAACATTTTTCTCGGAACATTGAAAAGTATAAAAAACACTATCATAGTCATTATTCATTATTCCATAGAAAAATGAAATTGCTGCTTTTTTTAATCGTGAACAGAATAGAAAAGTAACACTTTATTTCACAAATTACATATTTTGTTACATGCTGTCTCAAACAAATCTTATTCCAGTGTTTCTATCACCTAAATATTATCGACATTTTTCATTCATTTGCTCAATTAGAACTTTGAAAATATTAAAAACAAATTGCAATGCGATGAATTTTTTCAAAAACTATCATCCGATGATGCATTTAGAAATTAACTCTATTCGTTATATCTATCAAATGAAAACACATCTTATATCCAATTCATTTATTGATTTCAAAACTTTCACTTTGGGAATTTCCTATGATCCTCGCTTCTTATCTTTACAAAAACTAACACAAAATAATTAGAAATCTCTGCATCCAATGTTATCATCAATACCTGAACTGTGTTCATTTCAAATGATCGAATGCACCCTATTACTACTTGATAATGCATTTTCGGTACTCATTATTCTTCACTTGTGTATTTATCAATTGATGAATGTAATTTAAAAAATATATTTATACTGTTGAGTAGAGCTCTGAAACTAGATCATTTGAAAATAAAATATCTATTTTGACCGCCGAGATGTACAAATCAATGATGAAAGCGTCGTGAAAAATCCTGCATATCATCTCAAAATATTATATATTAATGAACTTGCAAATTGTGTTAAATACGTTTTTTTGAATTATTTTGAAAACAAGCACCAAATTTAGAAAATTTGACATTATTAATGCTTATGAATGGCAAAATTTCATAACTGCTTCATTATCTCATTTGAAGAATTTCAATTTCGATATCGTGCCAATGGTTTTCTGCCCAACGGTAGTATTGAAGAAAGTTTGGAAGTATTTCAGAATGATTTTTAATATAATAAACATCACTGATATACATAATATATGATGTCAATATCTGTCATATCAATCTATACAATACCATATGGATTTGATCGTTTCGTATTTAAATCACATATTGATAGATTTTATAACCACTCAATGAATTACCTTAATACATTTTATAATGTAAAAGAGTTAACCATTCATCTGAATTAGGAATGGGTCACTCAACTTAATTTAAAATTAAACAATTAAGAGATCATCGATCTTGAAGTTCTTTTTTTTTATACAAATATCCTTGAGTTCCTAATGCCTGTCACACGGCGGTACTCTCAGTTGATGAGGAGTTATTGTGTAAAGGTAGTCTGACGTAATCAATTCCTATATATACACATACTAGCGGGCGTACCCGCTGCAAAATAAGAAATATCTATGTCGAACGTCTGACGTGTTGAAAAGCTGCAGCAAATAGAAAAATCAATAGACTCCAAGTTTGTGCGCTGGCGGTCCTAATTTTTCTCGCCGTGCATCGCACAAAACGACAACTTCAATTATAGATCTTTATGCAAAAGAGTTACCGAAGCTGATCTCTGCCTCAAAACTTATTCAAATTTCCACTCTCTCTAATATTCATTCTAATAGAAGATAATAATGATCAACTCATCATGTGTATACCCGGATGTGGTGGTACAGGAAAATCACAATTTATTCGTGCTTTTACAAACAGAATACAAAAAGATACGAAAGCTAGTACCTACTGGAATTGCAGCTGCTGAAATTGGTGGCATCACTATCGATCCATTTTTAGGCGAACAATCAAACCGGGCGATTTAAAACTCGAAAAAGAACGGACGCTTGTGAAATATCTCTTGATTGCTGAAATGCGTATGATTGGTTTGACTTTACTCGGCAAACTCAATCGAATTCTTTGTGCCGCGAAACACACCGATCCGCAAATTCCATCCGGTGGTATAAACGTTATATTCTTTGATGACTATTTACAGTACCAACCAATATACGATGCCCCGTTACACACTGATCTTTCGCCGGAAAACAAAACGAAATCCAACAACATATTACATATTCGTTACATCTACAAATTAATTGTTTGATCAAATTTACTCAACAGATGAGAATGGAAGACATCCGATATCTTCAATTATTTGAACGACTTCGGCAATGTTAATGAAGTTATGAAGATTATGAATTATCATTGACGCGCGTTGTCGGACAGTCATCAGTATCTCTTCGTGAACCGCCATGGAATAAAAATATATTTCCATGTTTCTTTTAGGCGCGCATATGCTTGTATTTAGAGATGAAATACGAACGCAATCGAACCACACGTCGGCAATTCATCATGCAATAGAAACAGGTTGCAATCCAATAGTATGTGTCGTCCAGAATTTTGATAAAGGCAAAGCTGTGGAACAGCCGGCGCTTTTAAAAAATTATCGAACCTATCCGACAGTAAGACTGAACACTTATCGGGTTTGTTACCGTTAGTTCCTGGAATGCCAGTTATTCTTACACAAAATATTGCTATTGAACTCGGATTAATTAACGGCATGAATAGAACTTTCAAGCAGACGTTTCTGATATTCTTTCGAAAGTTGACAACAAGTCAAGAACAAATAGAAAGGCAATGTTATCGATTAAGCGACGGGCATTATCTCTTGTACTCACTTATTCTATCATAACCCACCAAAGCCAGGGATAGATTTTAAACGAAGTTGTAATTGATTTGAAGTTACCAAAGGATACAGACGATATCGCAGCAGTCTATATACCACTATCAAGGGTGAAACGTCTGACTGATTTAATTATTTTTGCGACACTTTCATCACAAAGTCGTACTGATCAAGTCCAGTAAATCTCAAGTCGCCGAGATGCAAAGACTAAATAAACTCTACACGGAAACATAGACGCGTTTTTCAGAACGGTTTTGACAAATCTTATAAAAAAAAACACCAAATATCCGTTGCTTGTCATCCATTTTGCGCACCTGATTTATTTGCATCACTTGCCGCTATACAAGTCTCTCGTATAATGAAAACGTTTTTATCCGTTGGTTGTTTGTAATCGAAGTGCATATTTTGTTTTCAATTTCATTTTAGCTACTACTTGTGTTTCACGCTTCTTATTCGTACTCGCTTATACTCCATATTCACTTCTTTAAACACTAGTTAACACTACAAAGAATTACTTCTTTTCTTTCATGTAGTTGGTCATTATATCATCGATGTATCTTTGTTTCATTGAAAAAAAACTTCGTGTCGGAAAGCATTTTTTTCTCTTAAGCGGAATAAAAATAATAATAAATTGATTATTATATATTGATCTCCGCAGTCGAGGGTGTAACAACTTTCTCGTGATGCTAATTCACTTTGGTTTATTTCCAGTCATCTGTCCTCTCACATTTTCTCCGTGCACATATATGCCCCATGGTGATGTGTTCGAGAGATAAATCATGTGATTCATCACAGCGGATAATGCGAGTCACTCTCGACAAGCGTTATTTATTATAAGTCTGATAAAACCATGTTAACACCTACCAGTTTATATAAATATAATTTTTTTCATTCTTTCTGTCGAATCCTTGAAGCTGCAACACGCACACACACGAGGTTGCAAAGAACGAAATAAACAATGATATCAGATCTTTCTTCTTTGTAGATATCGACAGTCATGACGAGCACTGTGCCATCGCTTCTTTCTTGCACTTAAGTTACACAATTATTCATTTGAAATTTATAAATACAAGTAGGATATATGACCTATTCACGTACAAAGTAGACAGATGGAGACTGAGGAGAATGAGTATAATTATGGATGTTGATGAGCCTATACATGTAGTTGATACTAACCAAATTCTCATCCTCAGCATTACACCCTCGCCCTTATGCAATCTTTGTGGAAGATTTATACAATATCATGAAATTATTGGCTTCGATTTCAGAATCAGTGATACTAGTTTTTTGGCGTGTTCTGTACATTTTCAGATTAAACCAACTATGTTGCAGCTAATCGTAAGAATTTTCCAAAGGTTTCGTCAACGTACAAATCAGAACAACTCATCAAAAGAGTTCGTTAGCTTTTTTAGTCTAGTAAGTACTATAAATGACCCTAAAAGTCCTTCAAACATTTCTATTCCATTTTCTCTGTGATCAAGTTTCGCTTTGCACAAAAATCTGATTGGTTCTATATTACTGTGGCAACTTTAGCTGCAATTGCAAGTGGTATCACTTTTACTATTTCTTTGATGGTTTTCGGTTCATTGACTGGGGTGTTCATTGATGAAGGTTTTAAACCCTGTTCTTTAAATACAACAACACCCAATGAATTGTCAACAAATTTTAAAGCAGATATTCATCGATACGTTTTGTATCTCGTTGGTACGTAAATTTTTCCTACATTTATATTGCAACATATTATCATAGAATATTCTGTATACACGTTAAGGAATTCTCCTTTAACTTTCTATCAGATCACATGAATGAATAGAATGTACTGCATGAGAGTTGCCTGCACTATTTTCTTTCATTGATTTTTAGGACTTGGCTGTTTAGCTTTCGTATTAGCCTATACTGAACACATTTTTTGGACGATGTCATCTGAAAAGCAAGCTAAAAGAATTCGGAACCACCTTTTTCGTTCTCTCCTACATAAGGTGAATTTAGTCTTGTGAAATAATCAATATTCAACTGTGGATTATTTTTGCATTAGGGTATCGCATATTTTGACAAATGCAAAAGTGGTGAACATACTACAAGGCTATCGGAGTAAGTACTTACTTGTCCTAAATTTACAGATATCTCATCGAAGCTTTTACCTAATAGTGACATTGATAAAGTTCAAAAGGGAATTGGTGAAAAACTTGGTGTTTTGATCAATTCTGTATCTATATTCTTATCTTCTTGTATCATCGCATTTATCAAAAGTTGGAAACTAGCATTAGTTCTACTAAGCATTACTCCAGTACTTGTCATAAGTGCTTACTACTTTGCCAAAGTTAGTTTTGATTAAACACTTAAAAACTAATTTGTACAGAAACTATCATCAGTGTATATTTCTAAACTTCTACGAGAAATTTTAATATCTGTGGGGTAGATTTCACCTTTTCTAGTGTGCAATTGCTTATGAATGTTCTAACTCTGGTCAGAACAATCTCAAATAGAGTCATCCGTAGTCTACCAATCGAAAAAGACTAATTTTTAAAAATAACCTTCGTTACTCTTCTGAAATTTGTCTCTAAAACGACTAGACATATTAAATTTAATAAAAAACGTGTTATTGAACTTCATTTTAACACGACGCCAAATTTTCTCTAAACTCGATACGACATCGAAATGATCTTGTCTATTCTTCTTTTTAATTTGGTAAAACTTGACACTTTTCTAGACCATGGCTATAATGACAGCGAATGAATTGAAAAGCACTGCTTTAGCGAGTGGTGCTGCAGAAGAGGTGTTTACATCGATTCGAACCGTTTTTGCTTATAATGGATCTGAATATGAACAAACTCGGTAAGTGTTTATCTATCTTAAAGACATAATTGTCCTTTTGTTTCTAGTTATGGAAAATATATAGATGAAGCAAAACATAAAGCTGTTAAGAAAGGATTCGTGTATGGTCTTTTTACTGGTTTCACTTCGTTTGTGGGATTCTGCTTTGATGCTTTGGGATTTTGGTACGGAGCCAAACTTATTCGAGAGGATTCTAATCAAAATATCGGAATTGTCATTCTTGTAAGTAAGATCTTAGTAAATTACCACCATTGAAAAAAATCTTTTCAACTTTTATGAGAAGAAATTTCGGCACCTGTAGTAGTATAGTATAGCTAGATAGAGATTACTATACTAGCTTAGCTGACTGGAATCTCCTGCTCCACTTTTTCAATGCTTTTATAGAATTTGTTAATTTTACAAAAATTAGAGATGTTTTTGGATGAAAGTAGCTACTTCTTGTAAAAAGAAATAATTATAAGATAGACGTGTTGTATTTGTTTAGGTTTTATTTACGATTGTTGAAGGTGTTTACTGTATCAGTATGGTCATTCCACATTTTCAAGGATTATCGGAAGCTCGCGGAGCAGCTTATCACATTTGGCAGTTGATTGATATCGTAAGTGTTATTCTCATTACTCTCTCTTTCTATCTGCACGACACGTTTATTGACATAGTCACCCAAGCAAACTCTTCCTGTTGAACCACTTGTATCAACATTGCGGACAAATTTCATGGATACTATCGAGTTTCGTAATGTACACTTCTCTTACCCAACACGACTTGAAACGCAAGTGTTGAATGGACTTAGTTTCAAAGCACAGCGTGGTCAAAAAATAGCTCTGGTTGGTAGTAGTGGATGTGGTGAGTTTTAGAGGCATTTTTATTGAAAATTATGGAAAACATATAAGCTAAATTCGATATCAAGATTCTGAAAGAGATAATTCATATTCACTCACTTTGTCAAATGGTTTTTTATCTTTCAGGAAAAAGCACATGTGTTCAGCTACTCTTGCGTTTCTATGATGTGAAATCAGGTGAAATTCTCTTTGAAGATCGATCTATAACAGATCTAGATGTTAATTATGTCCGACAAAATATATCTGTTGTAAATCAAGAACCGGTAAAAGAACTAATTGTTTTAGATATATAATATAGTTTTTTCGTAACTAAAGATTCTTTTTGGTACAACGATCTTTGAGAACATCAAATTTGGATGTCCCACGGCAACAGTAGAACAAATCGAGGAAGCAGCACGCAAAGCAAACGCTCATGATTTCATTATGCGTCTTCCAGAGGTAAATACATCTGATAAATTTTTCATTTTGAAGAAACTCATTTAAAGTTAACTGTCCAGAATGAAATAATATTCTAGAAAAACATTCTCAGAGAGGATTTTATTAATCTTTGATAGAAATATTATACAGTAGTTGGAGAACGTGGTGCTCAGCTATCTGGCGGACAAAAACAGCGTGTAGCACTTGCCCGAGCCCTTGTATCAGATCCAAAAATTCTCATTCTCGATGAAGCAACAAGTGCTCTTGATCGAATTTCTGAAAAAGCAGTACAAAAGGCTTTAGACAATGCAAGTGAAGGTACATTTTCTTTCACACAATTATATATAGTACCATAATTTTGTAATAGGACGAACAACAATTATAATTGCACATCGCCTATCCGCTATCGTAGCAGCAGATAATATTGTTGTAATTCAGAAAGGTTGTGTGGTAGAAGAAGGTAATCATGAATTACTCATGAGACAAGAAGGTGTCTACTATCAACTTGTACAAGCACAAGAAGCGGAAAATGTGATTTATACATCAGAAGATGAATACACAACTCAATACAATCAAAATGGTATTTGTAGATAGATCATATTATACAAACAGAGTATCAATATTATTTTGTTTTCTCGTTTCTTACAGATGAAATACTACTCGAAGATGAATTTGCTGTCACAAACAGCATGAATACTTTAACAATAAATTCGGAAAATACTTCAGATAAAGATAAGAAAAATACAACTAGTGAAACAGACAAGGTATAAAAATTTTTTACGATATACACCGTCGTTTCTTACATTTTTCTTGAAGAAAAAATCAGTATTTTTTGAAATGCTCAAACTAAATCGTTCTGAATGGATCTATATTTTATTTGGTTGTTTGGCCAGCCTATGTAACGGATGCGTTCAACCAGCGTATGCGTACGTTCTCAGCAAAATGATTTCAGTATCGTATTGTCACTTTCTTTGCGAAAGATTAGAGAAACGATTGATGGTTTTTTCTTACTTGCAGGTATTTCAGGAATGTGATTATGACCTGCAGATACAACGTATTCAGATATATGCTGGTATATTTCTATCTCTCGGCGTTGTGACATTTCTCACTAAATGGCTTCAGGTAAATATATAAATAGAACAGACAAAATCTGAATACTAAATGATTTGTGAGCTGTCTTACGCTTCTTTGGTCATATCAATCATCTTAGAGTTTTATGTTTGCCTGCTCTGGAGAAGCGCTCACTAGACGATTGCGGGCAAAGGCATATAAAACAATGCTATGCCAAGAAGTAGCTTGGTTTGACCGAGCAGAAAATAACTCTGGAGCATTGACGACACGATTATCTACTGATGCATCCGCTGTTCAGAATGTAAATGACAAATCAATTCAAATTTTATATAGATTATTTCATAAATGTGATCCTTCTAGTCTGTTGGTATTCGAATTGGAGCAAGCTTGGAAATGATAGCTAATTTAGGCGCTGGTCTTATTCTAGCTTTCATATTTAGTTGGCAATTGGCATCAGTCATGATTGGCTTTACCGTAGTAATGATAGTGGCGGGATTTGCAGAAACATATCTTACAGAACGATTCTCTTCTATTAACAAACAGAAAAAAGAAGAAGCCGGCTCGGTAAGAATACGTTATATATACATTCGAAAGAAAACAGCTTTTCGAAAGATGTAAATCTTGCTCATCTCTACTTTATGGGTATTCAAGAAGCTTAGCCTTCAAATTTTATAGGTGAATTAATTTTAGTAGAATATATATATATAGAACTATACAATGACATCATAAATCTAAGAGTTTTGTGGAATAGCATTGAAATAGATAACATGATACAAGAAATATATTTCTATCATTATCAAATTTTTAGACTTATTTAAACCAGAACTGAAAAATTTTTTCTAAATATTTATCGGTTATCCATACTAGGTAGCTGCTGAAGTTTTAGCCAATATGCGAACAGTGGTTCAACTCCAACAAGAAGATTTTTTCTTTATGAAGTATAAATCTCTTGTACAAGCTGTTTGTCGGTAAGTGATTTTTACATAAAACAAACGGTGATAATGACGAGATTTTACACTTTTTCAGTTCAACTATTAAGCGTTCGACAATTACTGGAGCAGTGTATGCGCTTACTACAAGTATTCCATTTTTCATCTTGCCGGCTCTTTTCTCATTCGGATTCACTTTGATTGAGAAAAGACTTCTCAAAGAAGAAGATATTTTATTGTAAGTATCTACTTCATCTCAAGTGAGACGTTGCATCTTCATAATTCTTTCCCTTCAGGATTTTTGCCTTTGCTATATTTCTGACACAAGCGCTTGCTGTATCGCTATCTATGTAAGTTAGCATTCGATGCTCATATTCAAGGTCTTGTGAATAATTAACTAATGAAAAGAAGACTTCGAAGAAGTATCGCGCATCACACGTTTAAAAAACGACATTAAATCTACTCAATAGTTTCCAAATATCTGTAGACGCTCATTGTTCGTTATTACTTGCAAAAAGAAAATCCTTAAACTACTTAAAATATCAAACGCTTAATGGCCGCATTATTTGGTACTGAAGATATTTCTCACAAGAAAAGCGACAAAAGTATAATTATAAAAAATATGTATATGCCAAGTTGAACACGTCATTCAAAGATTCTTTTAATTGCATTGGTCGTATAAAAAAGTAGTCATTATTCTTTTCTATATAATTCTACTAAAATATTATGCTCAAAAGATTTCTCTGACATATATTTGAAATCAGTTATTTTTGAAGGGTACCTGATTATGGTGATTCAATTTCGGCGGCCGAAGATTTTATTCATTTATTCAATCGAAAACCAGCTATAGACAACAGTAGTACCGCTGGCACAACATTGGTATTTTTATGAAAGAATTTGTAGTCGTTCATTAATATATTAATGTTCTAGTCAACTGGCCCAGAAAATATTACTATGACCGATCTTGAATTCGCTTATCCTGGTCGAAAAACTGTCAATGTCTTGAAAAAACTGACAATGCATATCAACCAAGGTTAGTAGATTTAATTAAAAATTATAGAAAAAAGTTCTGGTTAATCTCATCGTTTTTCGTAGGTCAACGTGTCGCTTTAATTGGTAAGATATCGCAACAGTAAATATTTAACATAGCGAAATAAATGTGTTTTTTTTTGTATTTCAAAGGACCAAGCGGTTGTGGTAAATCTACTGTGGTACAGCTTCTCGAACGTTTCTATGATATTTCAAATGGTGCTCTGGTAAGACAGCGTCACGTATTTTTCACAGGTGGAAAACAGAATGATGAATTGATTGTCAGATTTGATACTAAGAGTTAGTTTTTCAAAAGTTCATGATTCCAAAAGAATGTCTATGTGTACATTACCTGACGAAAAAAGTTATCTTTGAATTTCACTTTCAGACTGCTAATGCATGCGATGTTCGTTCACTCAATTTGCATTGGTATCGTGGACAGATTGGAATCGTTAGTCAAGAACCAATTCTTTTCGATATATCAATTCGAGAAAATATTGCTTATGGAGATCATAGTCGACAAATACCTTTAAGTGAAATTATTGAAGCAGCAAAAACAGCCAACGCACATGATATGATTCAGAAATTACCACAGGTTTAAGATAAAGATTGATGAGAATGAACATTCAATGTCTTCGTTTTCTATTAGGGATATGATACTATTGTTGGATTGAAAGGTGTACAAATGTCTGGAGGAGAAAAACAACGTATTGCAATTGCTCGTGCTCTCATACATAATCCTTCAATTCTTCTTCTCGACGAAGCTACGAGTGCTTTAGATAGCGCCAATGAAAAAGTCATTTCATTTCATAATACAAATTCATGTATGTTATATAATCTTTTCTTTAGATTGTTCAAGATGCTTTGGAACGTGCCCAAGAGAATAGAACGAGTTTAACTATCACTCATCGTCTATCAACAATAAGAAATGCCGATGTTATATATGTAATACACAATGGACAAATTGTTGAGTTTGGAACACATGAACAATTGTTGCTAAAAGAAGGCAGCTTATATGTTCGTTTGTTACAAATGCAGTCAAATATGTGATAGTTATGTCAATATTTTCGATACTGTGCACTATAAAAAAATATTTCTATACAAATTCGTATCGCTATTGAAAAGGACAAGTTATACTATGAACTTTTTCCTTTAAATTCTCCTCTATAGTTCATCACGATTGTAACAATTAATCCTTGCATGAATATTACAACTAACCCTCGACTAAACTAGTAGCTCAATATACAATAATCTTCAGAGATGTTTTCTATGGAAAAAGTCGGAAATATGTCCTAGGAAACCACTTTCCGAGGATGGTTCTCATTCATCTCACAGTTTTAAGAACAAATTTGACCATTATTGTCGTTCTCCTTATTTGTCGGATGTTTCTAAATGGATACCACTGTTCAAATGGAACGGTAACTTTGTAATAATGATAATCATGACTTTGTCATCTTCCACCATGTCTGCCTATTTTCAACCGAACAATACATACTGTGCAATAAGATAAGGTTGCTTAAACATTTCAAATACAAATTTGCTTGATTTTCTTCGTTGGCGTATCAGAAGATTCCTTTGGGAGCAGTTTGTTATTGGTGGGCATCCCTATGGTGCGCCACTCACGGCTCGCCGCTCCCCAAGCTTCTCATCTGCAAGGTTAACTATCCAATTTTATAAATCAAGATGTCTGACTGAACAGTTTTTACCAAAATAATCCATAATAAAATGATCGAATCAGGTCACGATCTAACTCCTCTATTCTATGAATACTGTCGCTTTTCTTCTCTATAATTTCACAACTAAAAATTAGTTTAAAACACTCTTTATTATCAGCATGTAATTCATCGTACAAAGTACCAAAGGTTCCATTCCAAAGTACAATTAAAGTAGCTCTCAAGTACGATCAAGTATCTACAAAGTATCGTCAAAAACAAAACTAAGTACTTGAAGTATGTCCAAAGTCATTGAAAGTATGATTAAAGTCTTTCGAAGTACAGACAAGTACCACAAAGTGGAATAATGGTGGTGAAAAGTTATCGATTTATCAAATGAAATTTAATTCCAATGAAGAAATATCGATAATGAAAAATAGAGTCACAAATTTTATCAGTTAATACTGCTCGTTTGTTGCATTACTCGAGATACACGATCACTTGATAACTTTGTTTTTGTGTTGGATAACACCCAACATGCTGATTGTTTATGAAGATATTTAGTTTTTTCCTTTAATTTGATCCTAAAATACGAGTGTTTCAGAGCAGGATTAAGACAATCAACAAGTTTAATTCCATAGAAATTTGATTTTGTTGTGTTTAATACCTCTGTTTCATTATTTTCATTACTGTCTTCAAAAGTCAATAACTGATTATAAAACTCATCTTCTCCATCATCATCGGATTCTAGTTCTTCATTGATATACGTTGTTGCTTGTGATGAATGGCCGAACATTTTTGAACTCTTCTTTAAGTTGTTGTATATAAATTTACTTAAAATTTCCAAATTAATCATATCATTTTCTTCTAATTCTAGCAACATGTTTGAATGATGTACGATATTGACTGCTTGTTCGTACGCATCTGACATAATTTGCTCAAGATCCAATGTATTTATCTCATCTAAATTATCTGCCACTGTCAATAAATCATCATGTTTATGCTTGTGATGGACTGGAAATGACAAACCATTATTCAGTTGATTGTGCTTGATTTGATTTAATATGCATAATTTTTGTGCACGTTGAACAAAATTTTTCACAGTAAAGTTTATCATGGTAGAGAAAGAACCACTTAATAATCGTGCAGCACGAAAAACGGATTCGCATGGCTGCGATGAGAAAAGATTTATATTAATTAAAGCCTGTTTAGGTAAATGTTTTAGTATCACTAGGAGTATCAAATAAATCAGATTGTGTGCATTCAACTCAACACAAATGTATGCAGGTTTTGAAATAAAATGCTTGTGTACATCATTCTTCTTTGAAGTTGTTACTTTATTTCTCGAAGAATTTGAAATTGAATTTATTATTAACCATGCCAACCATAAGCGACAAATAAATACGACACACCATGCTGATTGTACGCCAATGTAGGTGTACAGAAATAGTATAGAATTAAAAAATCCAGTATCACGGGTCAAAAGAATCGAAAATAAACTTACGTTCACGAACGGATGTTTCTCTATTAATATAAGCATTCACTATCATTTTAATTAAAGTTAAGTAAATGACGGTTCCATTCGTCTCATCACGATCAACCAAAAGTTTTATTACATCCTCTGATATTATCTTGATGCACGAGTTAAAATTCTGTCTATCTTTCGGGTTAATGTCACTTATCGTAAGACCATGATCGAGTTTTGTATGACACCCATCACTAACCAATGCTTCAATGTGTGCTATATTGATTTTATCAGTTCCAATACGTAAATCAGCTGTAGAAGACAGCATCCTGTTTCTCAATTTTGTTACGATATGAATCGGATCCTGAAAAAACAAGAAAAGCTGATGCTCTCCAAGAAAAAACCAAGTCCAATGTGTTGGTATATTAATTTTAAATGCATGTTCATTTTTATCCCATTTTAAGTCATAGGAAGATGCGAAAAAACCACTGGCTAGTCGCATGGCACTTACATACCGCCTATCCGCATCTAATTTAAATTAAAGAAGCGTATTAGAAAATATAAATGCTTTAGAATTTACCTGTAGCGAAACCGATAATGCGGACGTTTTGCTTCAAACATTGTTGGAAAACATGCATCCATCGATGAAATACATTTACTGCGGTGATTTTATTGTCAACACCGTACGCAGATAACAACAATGGTCTTGGAATACATGATTGACTTTCTACAGTTGGTATTCCTTGAAACATGTGGACATTTAGTAACGGAGCTATTTCTTTATTATCATAAATTGCTTTTAATTCACCAAATGTATTTGCTTGATAGAATCGTGGTGATGGAATACCATGATCAATTGGTGTGGCGAATCCGATGAAAGAATTTGTTTTAGAATCGTATTCAACTCTACGAATAACTCCCGTAGTGTCTTCAGAGCAAAAGCCAAACTCTGAGTGACATAGCCGCAGAGATTCAAAATTAAATTCTGCTTCACTAAAAACGGTTCCTGAATTATTAATCAATTCACTAAGCGTTGATAAACTAGGAACAGATCCATACAGATTCAAACGAACAAACTCATACACTTGTTTGCCACCAAGAATATATAAACACATTGCAAAACTTTTAACCGATTCATTATGTTTAAAGTTATTTGGAGATTGTGTGAGATTATTCACTAAGTTATCGATGAATGATAATAAAAATCGATTTGACTGTTTCACGTCATTTGAGTCAGTAAAACGATACCATTTAATTAACGATTTTAATAATGGATAACTATTCAGAAAATCATCAGTTAAATAACTTCCACAATTCTCTCTCTTTTCATTTAATGCTGTTTCTTGTTTTTGTTTTAATCCTTTTTCCAATAACTTCATAAGAAATGAAAACGCGCTTTGAATACCTGGTTTTACAATAACTTGTCCTGATTTAGATATGTAGCATGATTCAAGTTTAATAACATCAGTTTCTTTTATATCATACTGAAAAAATGCAAAAACATCAGGCGTATTAAGTAATTTTGTAACAGAATTGATCAATTGTATTTTTAAAATTTTCGCTAATGAATCACCTGCTGTTGATTGAATAAAATCGTAAAAGCGATAGTCAACAAGTTCAAAGATATCATCTGGTAAAATCGAAATATCAACAGACATATTATCTGATAGAGAACACATTTCTTTTGAACAATAATTCATATTTATCTAAAAAAAGATGAAATTAGCGCACCATTACAGAATTTAAAAGACGAATATTTTCCAGCTAGAGAACTTGATGAATGTTGAGAGCGGTTTTCTATTTTAACTACTTTTAAATCGGCAGGAAAAAGTAGGTTTGACAATGAAGAAATTCTGTGATACTTCTTTGCAAGAAAAGCATGGACGCATAAGCACGGTAAATAAATCTCACGAAAATAAATTACCAAAGAATGAAAAAGTTCATCAAAGAAAACCATAGAAAATGACTATTCTGGCTAAATAACAATCTAAATAGAGTATAATCATACGTAGATCATTTTGAAAAAATATTCTGTAGAATTGTACATCGTGTCATAAATATAATATTTCACTAATCTAATACAATGACAAAATTTTTCATATTCATCATCGATGGCGTGCGGACATCAGTATCTAAAAATCATGTTCAATGTACATTACATATCACTCTCGAAGGTATACATGAGTCATCAATAAGATCAAAGAATTCTTTTTTATTTGTAGAGGTCTCTATTTTATGAAGGATTTAAGAAATTAGTTGTGCTATTTATATTATATACATGTATGTATACACGCATTTCTTTACCATTGGCTAGTTTTATGTACAAACCATGTGTCCGTTTCTTCTTATGCGCAGGAATTCAATTTACTTGTTTTCTTTCGCTATAGAAATATTTCCTTTACACGAAAGCATTGTTCATCTACAGTGCTTTCTTTTGCACTTTTATTTTATCTTTTAGAGTAATTAATTCATGCATCGTGACTATTATTTTGGTCATTTACCATCGAATGTTTTAGCACTATCTGGTTATGAATTCTTCCAGTTCATTCAAAGTATTCTAGGTGAACCCGAAGTAAACCTTTTAAAAAAAATTTCTGTGAAAACAACATCGTCTTTTATGAATATTGAAGATCCATTGGCTGTTCTTAAACAAGATATTGATGATGAAGAATTAGAGATATTAAAGAAACAATTATGTTTTAAAATGAAAAATGATAACTATTTGATTAAACCCGGTGTTGAGTCTGGATTTTCATCGCTACAAAAAGCATTAAAAGAAAAACTAAACCAACAGATCAACAGTTCCACTAAAAAGAAACAACAACGGAATGGTGATGTATCATCTATTTCTTCTTTGACATTATCATCTCAAGAAGCAAAAACTTCTTCATTTTCTTTACCAGAACATAAATCACATGTTCTTCAATTAATAAAAAAATGGTGTAATGACAATAAAGAAAATTTTAATTTAGAAAATTTTCAATTGGAAGAAGATATCGATTTTACATTAAATATTCAGTTTGATGAAAATTCTACTGTACAAGCCACTATCAAGTGCAAATGTGGTAAATTGATTTCATTGTGTAGAAATGGTTCGAAAATACAAGTGTCCAATTATTATAAACACTTGCATTCTTTTGGATGTAGTCGTATGAAAGAAATCAAAAGAGACAACAGAAAACCGCAGGTACAGCAGCAGCAGTTGCAATCGACAATTACATCATTACGTGTTTTAACATCTCAATCATGTGTGTCACCTGTTGAAGCGCACGCTGATGAAATGGCAGATACACAATCGACACCTAATGAAAGCTCAGTTTCAAGATCGCAATCAAGTCTAAACTTGAAGCGTCCTATACCATCTGGTTCACAACACTCCGCTTCGACCAAACGAAGCCGTAGATAACATTATCTTTTTTTATTTTCTTGGTAGAGACGTAGAGAATCATTTGTATTTTTTATTTTATTCCATTGTTTTCAATAAACCATTTTAAAATACACACTAAACTTGTTTTTACATAATATTTTCTTAGTTCAAAGAAAATTTTATCGTTATGTCGTAGTTTACGAAATATACGACGAATCAGATTGCTAAAAATTCGAGATTTCGATTAAATTTGTATATTACGGGAAACTAAAGCGACTTCAAGTACCTTCAGGTAACATAAAGTAGTTCCAGGTAGGCCAAGTAGTTTCAAGTATCTCCAAGTGATTTCAAGTAACCTCAAGTGGCTCAAAGTAGCTTCAAGTACCATACAAGTAACCAAAAGTCCGCTTAAGTAGGCGGAAGTATCATCAAAGTATTTGGGAAAGTAACTACAAGTATTTCAAAAGTATCGGTAAAGTATCAATAAAGTAGTTCAAAGTACATTTCAAGTACCAGGAAGTACCTCAAAGTCTAAAAGTTCGCCGTTTCCCCCTTGCCTATATCAACTTCTTCACATTTCACAGCTGGGTCTGAGTTTGTAATTGATAACTCACGCCAGGCAATGAATAATATGCTTGTTGCTATGGACCTGAGTCCGATTCCATCTCAAACTCGACAAAACTTGGAAAACTGTTCTGGCAGCAGTTTGCGTCGAATGGCTTCAAAACTGAATAATGCTGTAGCAGTATTTACAGGTATGTTTCGATAATGAATTCTCATGTTCGGTTTTTCTCTATGTAAACGATTTCTAGATAAAATGGCACAAACAATTGCTCCAGGGCAACACGAAAAACTAGTGAAAATATCGGAACGTAGTTTACGAAGCAAAAGCACTCGAGATTCAGATCAAATAATGAACGATGAAATTGTGCAAAATCTGAAGCAACTATATGACGTGTATGTCAAAGAAAGAATGCCTTTTGTTGAACAAGTTCGACTGTTATCTCTGTTACCTCGCTCGTGGAAGTACGAAATGGTCACTAATAATTTTGGTGCTTCTCAACATGCGATTAAAACAGCTCACAAGATGTTTGATGGTCAGACTTACATACTGGAAAATGGTACTAAGCCATGTATTAGACAGAGAGCAGATCCGGAAACAATAAAACACTTTGTGAGTTGGCTTGTCGAGAGCAACACACTTGTTTCAGGTAGTTACTATAATATTAATTGTTGCAAAAAACTTCTTTTCTCCCTCCATTTGACTCTCTGCTTCATAGGAAGCTATGGCCTTACTGTTCTACGTATGGACAACGGAGAAAAACAAGAGGTTCCTCAACAAATTCTTCAGTTGCAAAAGTCTCATGCAATTTTTTATTACAAAAAGTATTGTGACGAAACAGATTATGAATCATTAAGTACTAGCAAGTTATATGATATCTTGAATAGTATTAAACCATCACAACAGAAAGCTGTTGCAGGCCTAGATGAGTTTGTTGTTGAAGGTGTTGAATCGTGGCGAACACTGTCAGATTTGTTGAACAGTGATCTATAATTCTAGTAGAATAAAAAAGCATTTTATTTGAGAATGCGTATCAAGAATCACACTAAGAGCTTATTCAGAATTAGTATTCTACATTCATTTAATGCTACCTATGTTGTACAGTTACTTAACGAGACGGAATAAATGGCAGAAAACAGCGATACATATTCTTCTCTGTTATTATTATTGGTTTTTTCTTTTTTGCCAGTGCTCATATTGCTCCCTACTTCTCATTTCTTTTTCTGCTTTTGTCTTTTCTTGAAACAAATCTCTCTCGATTCCTACACTCTTCCGCATAAATTTTATCATCATGGCCAATATTTGTTCGTGTTCTATTGACTTGATATTTTCAAGAACTGAGGAGAAATGTTCATGTACTTTCCATTGTAGTGATGGTAGAAGGAATACCTATACCTCAAGCTGAACGTAAACGCTTATTGAAACAAATTGAAATCGCAGAGAGCTACTTAAAGTCACGACATATTGCTCATTGCACAATGAATTCTAATTGTATTACTCACTGTACTACCTTTGCCTTAAGTGATCCCAACTGTGACGCACAATATATGGCGTGTAGTGAAGAACATACATCGATTTGTCTAGATTGTTTGAACATTGTTCAAACACTTGATGAAATCAAACAAAGTATTGGAAAAATATCGAATGAAGACTTACTCGCAGAAGTTGAATACGATTTTGAAAACGCCATAGAGCACACCATTGAATGGTTTCGTCACAATGTACGTGCTGCGCAGCAAGATTTTGAAAAACCGAGAATTATCTCCAAAATGGGAACGGATGAAGCGTTCTGTACCTTTGACTGGGGCCAAAAATACTTCCACAAGAATATCGAGAATCGCAAAAAAAATACTTTGGGAAAAAAGGTATGTCTGTTCTTGTTGGTTCGTTCACCTGGAAAACGGGAGCAAGATCTACCGTCGCAAATCGTACGACAACTGATATACAATCTCCAAACACATTTGCATCCGAATCGTATATTTTGGCGTTAACAACTGCTGCTCAAACTGAGTTGGATACATTAAGTGGTGGTGAATTGATTTTAGAACAATTTAAACTAGACTTTCCACATATTAAAAGATTACATAAACGTACCGATAATGCTGGAAATTTCTCATCACATTCAACTCCTGAAGCTGAAAGATTGATCTGTGAAAATGTAGGTTTTCGATATAACATTAGTAAATGGTTAAACAATGTACTCTATCATTCAGCTTGAACTTGAACTACTAACAAGGGACTACAGTGAAGTTCAAAAAGGGAAAGACATTTGTGATCGCGTTTGTGGAGTAGCTAAGGATCGAATGAGGTCCTGGATTGCGACTGGTAATGACTTATTGAGTGCTTACGACATTAAAGAAGGTATGCAATATTGTGGGGGCATTAGAAACACAAAGATCGCGACAGCTGAGATAATTCCAGGTGCTGGTACGATAATTATTAACTAATATTAAATAATTACTATAGTTTCCTTTGTTCGAAGATCATTTGGATAAAACTACCATTCCAAATATCTCATTAGTACGTTCTGTTAAGTATGGAAGCAAAGCTATGAAGATTTATAAGGCTTCTGGTATTGGAAATGGTATCTCAATAAAGTATAAAGATATAAAATTCGAAAACAATATGAGAATGACAAGTCCTTTCACGCAGTCTATGAATGAGTGTTAGCGTCATGGGTTGTTACTACATGACGCTATCGTTTTCACATATTTATGTACATATACATAGATATGTTTATGTTTCTTTACGTTCGTCTCTTTTCTACCTCGATTCACATTCCTTTCCGTCGTGATACACTTTTTCTTTTCTTTCCTGTGGAATGTGGTTTTTCTCTTGATCATCATGTCCTCATGATGATCTTTCTTTGTTGTCTTTCCGTCATTCTTTGTGGTAGTTAGACCACGCTGTTATTTTTCAGTCGTCGTTTCTCTCTATTTGTTGCTCTATATTATAGAGTAGTTTGTTTTCTTTTTCGTGTGATTCTCATTATTCGTTTTTTGTCCTTGTCTCACCCGAATAAACGTGGTTGCCATCTCACATCTTTCACTGGGTACGGTAAGATTGATTTCTTCTTTAGAGATCCATAGATCATTTGCGATCCAGGATTCATCATTGATTGAGATAGGTACACACACTTTTTCGAGACTATAGGACTTTTGCATCCCCTACATCGAGAACCTCACAATGAGCAATCATCAAAACCAATACGTAAAAGGTCTGAACATTATTCAATGACTTTTAGAAGAATTTTTCCTTTCTCACAGAAAAAATGAGCGACAATATTACGATTTGGTACTATGTCCTGTTAATGGTTGCACGGATACTTTTGAATCAGACACAGAACTAAACGCACACATTGCTGCTAATCTGCATACAATTCCGGAACAAGTTCCTCGAACAGCGAATGATATTGCTCGAACTCATTTAACTGAAATAGTACGAACAACACGATCACGCACGAGAGCCAAAGCAGCTGCTCAACAGCAACACAGCGATGATTACGATCTATCAAGATCGCACTGCTATGAATTCCTCTCAATCTGTGGTTGGGCGCTACGCACTAGAAAGCTCAGTAATCCAATGACTCAAAAAGTAAAAGATTTTTTAGAAGAAATTTGGCTTGATTTAATCAAGACAAACTCAAGAATCATTCCAGAAAATATTCAACAAAAAATACGAGCGAAAAGAGATCAACATGGAAAAAAATTTTTCTCTACCAATGAAAATCCTTCAAGGAATCAAATAAACTATCAATGCCGCAAATTTTCCCAGAAGTATGGCATAACCTCAAAGCAACGAATCATAGATGAAATTGTCGGTCAGCACCAGAACTCGTGATGGTTTTTTACGAATTTTTTTAGTAATACGCTAACTTGCTGTTCTAATCGATCGCTGGTTCTAATTGTAATTTTTATATTTACAAAAAAGGTAATAGATCGAATAACACTGCCTTTCAACTACCTTCCACTAAAAGCATGAAAACGCATGACTCTGAAATATGCTCATCGTCGGAAAATGTCTACCAAACACATTAGAAGAAAACGTACATCTTAATAACACGCACTGAAGCTACACGTTTTCGTGAAAACTCTGCACACGAAGAAATACATATCCGAACATCTTGATCTTGATCTTGATGTCCCATGGGCTTAGCGCCCGTTGGGGCCAACCACTATACGGATGAGATTCTTCCATTGGTACCTGCTCTGCGCAAGGTGAACCAAATCTCTACAACTGCGGCCACACCATTCAGTTATATCGTCTACCCATTCCCTACATGGTCGTCCTCTCCTTGATTTTCCATGTATTCCAGAGAAGACGATGTGTTTCAGGAGTCTANATATGATCGAGACAATGGTATGATAACTTCATAAGAAATGAAAACCCGCTTCGAATACCTGGTTTTACAATAACTTGTCCTGATTTAGATATGTAGCATGATTCAAGTTTAATAACATCAGTTTCTTTTATATCGTACTTAAAGAATGCAAAAATATCAGGCGTATTAAGTAATTTTGTAACCGAATTGATGAATTGTATTTTTAAAATTCTCGCTAATGAATCACCTGCTACTGATTGAATAAAATCGTAAGAGCGATAGTCAATAAGTTCAAAGACATCATCTGGTAAAATCGAAATAACAACAGACATATTATCTGATAGAGAACACATTTCTTTTGAACAATAATTCATATTTATCTAAAAAACATGAAATTAGCAATCATTGCAGAATTTAAAAGACGAGTATTTTCGAGGTAGAGAACTTGATGAATGTCGAAATCGGTTTTCTATTTTAACTACTTTTAAATCGGTAGAAAAAAGTACGTTTAAATTTTCGATGCAGTGGCATATTCAAAATAAAATAAGCAGAAAATTATAATAATTCGCTATAATGAGTAGCATAGTCAAATCATCTGAATTTATAAATAATAGCAGTAAGAATATGCTTTATCATACCATTGTCTCGATCATATGATATCAATAATAAAAGCCTTATAAGAAACCATACACGAGTATAAATTCAAAGTTTCATTTAATATTTTGTTGAAAGGAATCAGTGCTTACGATGGTATAGCAGGTATGACAATGAAGAAATTCTGTGATACTTCTTTGCAAGAAAAGCATGGACGCATAAGCACAGCAAATAAATCTCACGAAAATAAATTACCAATGAATGGAAAAGTTCATCAAAGAAAACCATAGAAAATGACTATTCTGGATAAATAACAATCTAAATAGAGTATAATTATACGTAGATCATTTTGAAAAAATATTCTGTAGAATTGTACATCGTGTCATAAATACCAATAATGCAGAGTATATGTTTAATAGTTGCACACTCTGCAAATATTTTTTTACAGAAAAAATCGAAGAAAACATCACAAACAGTAACATCAATATTAATTGGTCACAATGGATCAATGAAAATGATCGAGCTGAAAAAAAAAGAATTTCCAGGAAATGTCCATGAAGCAGTTTTGTTATTGAAGTCCAAAGTGGAATATTTTCTGTTTCATGTATATATAAAATGAGAGCAATCGAAATATTTCGAAAAGTTAAAGAGCGAAGTTAGTGATGAAAAAATAGTAACGCAAGTCGATTTTGCCGAGAATTTCAATATGAAAGAACAAGACGAGATTTAAAAAGTACAGTGGAATACAAAGGCGTTGAGTATTTTTACTGCTTTTGTATAGTCAACAAATGAATATTTTTCTTTTCCTCTGCCATCTTCAGATTTAACACCCGACAAAGTTGTTGTTGATTCTGCTTTAAAAGTTATATTAAGTCATCTCAAAGCAGTTCTTCAAAATGTTAAAGAGATAAATGTTTTTTGAGATGGAGCAGCCTCTCAATTCAAAGAACGTTTTTATTTTTGAAATATGTCACAAATTGCTTCTGAACGAAAAATACATTTAAGTTGACATTTTTTTTTGCAACTTCACATGGTAAGGGTGATGTTGTTGGAATTGGAGAAGCTACAAAGCGACTCGTGTGGTCAGCAATTTTAGCAGGAGGAGTATGTTGGTCTGCTCAGGATTTTATTTATCTTGTTAAGCAAAAAACTAAGAAAATAATTTTATTTGAAATCACCAGAAACGACATTGATAATTCTAAAAAGAAACTTGAAAAGATTTTTGAAACGGCAAAAACAGTACGAGAGACATTAAAAATGCATTCAGTTAATGTTATTGATGAAAATACATTAGAATTTCAATATTTCTCAATCCGCTCGGAAAAAAACTAGAACCTATTGATCAAATATATTTGGATAAATTTTTAGTTCTACTTTGTTTAGTTATTAAATTTATTTCTAGATATCATGCGAAAAGTGAAAAAAATACCATTAGCGAGGAATTTGTAAATAAGATTAGATAAAAAGAACAAAAAAACGTCTAGCTCGAAAGAGGCCGGGTTTTCGTCCCGGGCTGGAGAAACATTGGAGTGGAGGTGCTTGCATTTACACTATAGTGGCTAATAGTCTCTAAATATGTGTCAAATGTGAGATATACTCTTTGTCAAGATAAAAGACAAAAAATCGATGAACAAAACGAAGGTACTAATAAAAACTTATGTTATCTATCGATAACTGAGGCATTGAAATGCGTATTTTAGCGGTCAGATACATGTCAAAATAAATTAGGATCGAATAAAAAGATAATAATGACTTTTGGAAAAACAAGTGTCGCACCGTTACGTTTGTATTTTGACGTTCAGAGAAATTCAATCATTTTCTAATAGGAGTAAACAAATGGAATTTATCCGTCAGGATATGAGTTCAATTGATGAATTATTATATCAACCATTTGGATTGACTTTATGATAATATTATCATGATAATGGTATGACACAAAAGTATCTGGTATGGTCGTGCCATAAAATGTGCTACTGAATTTTTGCAGACTGACGAAGGAATTCAAGCGCGATTAGATAATATATTTTCACCTAACACCAATAGTTGAAACGAATACACTTATTCTGTGCTATAGGGATACCCTTTAGTTCGTCGAGCCCCATACGAGGACGGTATTTTGGGCTTTCACTTAGTAGTCAGGAGGGGTAGTTTTGAATATGCTGAATTTATAATGGGGAGATACGTGAAATCATCAGATCGTATCCTGAGGATAGTCCGATGTTCTGGTATGCTGCTACATGGGGTGCTTTCTAAGTTTCCAAGTTTCATAAGAGCGCGATGCGTCAATTGCCGATGCAGTAATAGAAAAGAGCACGTAAGATTGGCTAGTCCTAGGTCAGAGAAGGAATTTCGGATCCGCCTATGTTAATTATACCGTAGCGACACCGTCAGAGCTTCGAACTTTCTAGTAGTCGTTGATGAATGAAGGTAGTAACCACGGGAACGTCTTCTTTTATCTGATACACTACAGAGTATAAGAAAATACACATGTCTTTAGAATGACAGGAGCGGATACATTAATTGTCTCATGATTTCGGATGGTTGAATGAAAATATTCTATTCGGCTTGGAGTATGCGATTCGATTGCTAAGAGGAAAATGACATACTGTGATACAATTTATCACAGCGAAATATTGATATAAGATAGTAATATGCGCTGCGCTCCATACTCCAGTTCCATTTCCAGCTGAATTGTAGTGGGAAGTGAGAACGAGTCGCCTGGAATTTTTCTGGATCAATATTGGAGTTAAATCAAATACCTCAAGGAGCATTCTCCGCCTTTATACAGCGAAAGGCAATCCTGAATTTGTTAGAACTGCGTTGCAAATAAAGACACTCGAATATAGATGCGATAATGAAAATATGACCGACTTCATCCACATAAAGAACTGTAGGTAAGGAAACACAAAAATAATTTCCTATCAGACGACAGCTACACAACTCCCGAATTCGATTAGCACTTACCTGGTAAAAAAACATAAACATGATGCATGCATCTTTCAGTTTCATACAAAACGGTTAAATTTAGTATAATTTGCATTGAAATAGGCTTTTTACTTTTTAAAATGTTAATTTAAATTGAAATTATCTTAGATTTTAGCCGACTGATGAGTCCTTGTGAGCAAAAGACGAAACACGTCATAGCTGCTCATCTCATCGTCAAGATTCTCGTTATAAACAGACTATTCATCAAATACGAGACGATACATTTTATCACACTGTAATTCAAACCACAAAACTCTTGATCAGCAGCCGAAACAGTCCAAAGAGCTTGTCCGACTGAATCCACTAAACGAATATGCCAAAGTAACCACAAAGACATCGAAAACTAATTAATCCTGTCTTTTCTGGAATACAGTACGGCAAATAACATTCGATCCACCTTTCAATCGCGGAACCATACTTGTGCATTCATTGAATACTGTCAAATAAACGATTTTCATAGAAACATGGAACATCAACCGAGATGAAAAACCTCTTCTCCTTAGATTGAACCATGCACAACATATTTCTTTTTCCTCCGATACTTATAACATCCCAGTCGAAATCCGGATCATGGTATGCTGGACTCAATGAGAATTCGATGTATTGAGTTTAGAATAACAGCTGTGAACTTCTGGAAAACATTTTTCTAGATTTTCGAGAAAACGCTATACTGTAACATATGAAGCTCCAGGAATTACGTAGAAAAGAAGTTCCTTCTCTAAATAATCAACAATAATAGATCTTTCATCAGCTACTCAGACGAAAAACTGATTAAAATCACATACAGATCATGTAAATTTATCCACGAATGATTGAAGGATTTAAAGAAAGGATACCTTTGCTATTCTCGTTTCTTGTTTTTTATTATGAAAGACTTCTCAGTGAAAATGATGATCACAATGAATACAACATCATTTATGGTGTCATTACATTTGATTTACGACGTAATCTTTTCATCACAAATTCCTTTAATGGAGTTGTTATGAAAAACAAATAAATCATTGCTGAGAGATTTGATAATTGAAAAAATGCATAAGCAATACGTGCATATCGTTTCATCGATGGTTGAATAAATGACATTGTGACGATGATCAGATATGGAAAGGAGATGACAATCAATGTTATTATCAATATTACAATACGACGAATAGCTTTCAATTCTCGCTTAGCTCGCGCTAAGGAGTTTGATGCAGCGGCATTCTTACCCGTCTGTTTCACGTATCGAAATAATTTCAAATAGATGAAAATAATTATTGAAATTGGTAAATTAAAATTACAAAAGATTCCACAAATAATACATACAGATGGATGAAGTTTTGCTTGACACATATGAGTCTCTACTACGTAGACTATTTCTTGAGTAGGAATACATTCAGAAGGAAATATAATAGATACTATCCATGTTAAACAAATAAATGAAGTTTGACATCGAAATGATCGAAAAAGTAGACGACTGGGATAAACAGCAATCGTGTATCGATACAAAGATTGTAAAGTGAATGAAAAATTAAAAATACCGCAGGCTGTATAGATGAGATAGGCTCGAGTAATGCAAAGAGGATCTTTATAATCTTGCTGTTTAAGATCATTCTGTAATACAAATACTCCTACAGTGAGAACCGTACATCCTAAAACAAGTGCAGCGAAACATGTATTAGTCATTAATAACATTGGAACAGTATGACATGTTTTGTCAATGATAATGATGAAGAGAAAGATAATCGACAATATAATAATTAATGCTGAACAGATAATCATAAAAATATTTGTTGGAATAAACCAAGATTCAACTAACCCAACCGTTGAGTTGTTACTAAATATGTATAATTCGAGAGTAATTGTTACATTCATGTTTTTCGAAACTATTCAATTAATTATACGTCAAATTCTAGAAGATAGAAAATATAATAGTTTCCACCAAATAGAACGTATACAGTAAGAATATATGGGGTTTTCAGGCTTGCATTTTTACGATTAGGTCATATCAGGTATATTTTAGAAAAAAACAATAAAAACGACCACCACACCTTTTTAACTAAATAGAATTAAATCCTCTAATTATTACTCATATCTACTTATATGAACAGTATGGATGAATGTTTATCTTCAAATTGAAATACAAAATCATATATTTTCATTTAAAACCCTAGACGACTAGGTTTTTTGTTACTAACATAAAAAATGTCTTTTTATAGACTGAATACCAAGTGAATCTATACTTATGAGAAAACAAATATTATTTCATATATTGCTATAGTTGTTTCAACAACAAACGATGTTGACTTCTTTACTGATAAAATGACAATTCGAAGAAGATAAATAACGATATTTTATCTTTTAAATCGAGGATTTATCTCTGAAAAACGTTAATGTGAGAAAAGAAAAACTACAGTTATTGCCTTAAATATGTCTCTTTCTTTTTTGTCATTTAATCCCCTTTCGTTCAGAGAATTAAAAGTGTCATCAGATTCATTTTATTCCGTAAACTTTCTATCACGTATTCCTTGGATTAATTTGCAGATTAAAATAAACAGATGATTGTTACTACACTGATCAAATTATGAATTCAAGGAACAAAACGTGAGAAAATTAACTACAGTACTCATAAAATAGATGACTATGTCCTAATTAGAAATAGGATATCAACGATTTAGCAGTTGGGATCAGTCGAGAATTCAATGAATATTTACACTGGAAACAGTTGAGTGAACAAAATCCATTAAAAATGAGCGTTAAAATATCTTATCCAAAAATAGTACTGATCCTCCTTTGGTTTTTAGCATAGTACTTTGATTTTCATTAATCAATAATGTATGACTTGGGCTTTTTACGGGGGAACAGAAGCACAGTCAAACATGAACACCATACAATTGACATTGACGAAATCTTAAGTAAAATCTAATTGATTCATCATCAAATTCATTGATAGTGCGCATATTTATGTCAATATTTATCGAAATACATAAAGGAGAAAATAAAATAAAGAACATGATTAAAGGCAATTCATGACAAAAGGAATATTTATCAAAGTGTAATAAATAACTCACATGAATCACAACGTTAATAATATTAGTGACATAAAAAATACACTATTATTCGTCAAAGTTTTGACGAATTGTGGTGAAATTAAAAAGTAAAAGTATCAAAGACTTTCGAAATATTATGAAGTGGTATACAATATACTATCTAAACTAATGAAATTCAAAAGGAGATATTCTTGACAAAACATTTACTATTCTTTCCAGCAAAATTCTTAGAATAAATATAGAGAAAATCAACGGCTAGTGTCACCTTCTCTACTAAACAAAAAGAATCTGCTCAATTGATAAAATACTTTATCATCAATATTGCGTATGCAGATTATGAAGGAAAAATCTCCTAAAATATGTCGAATTTTGACATAGTCAACAGTATTCTCTAGAACTTTGCTAATTTTGATATCAGATAAACAATCTTGTTGAAAACTCAGGTAGTCTGTGTTTTATGTGTATTCGAAGAGCCAATATTATTAACAACAATCTGACCTTAACGGAGTTTTAATGCAGGCACCAAATCCAATTTCAATCAAATCCAAATCTTAGATTTGACTGGATTTGACTAAAATTTACTAGATTTTTCCTAATTTATTAGAATTAATCATGATTAAGGCGACGTGCATTTGAAGTTGACGAGTGTTATTTGCACTTTATAGAATTTGAGCGACACTGAGCAACATCAACTTCTTTGATAAGTAGTAAATAATCATCAGTCAAAGAACAGGCATCATTCATATACACGCGGAACGTTAATTCGTACTTTCTAATTCCTCAACATCTGTCAGGCGTTAGTGAAATATCTAATTGTATAGACCAACGGCACGAGCTGTCACATTCGTCATGCCCTATGTTGAAGAAAACATTCTTTCGCTCACATATATATGGAAAGAAGTTGGGAAAATACATAACGTTCTGAGAAGAACTGTTAGCAAATAAGATCCATAGCTACCAAGGATATCAATTTATCAAACTAGAGCACTTTAATCAAATTCTATTTGAAGTAGTAGTCTGTACGATTTCATATAGTACAAGAGTAGAATAAAAAAATAAAATGTTCAGATACTTAGGGTAAGGATGAGCATAGCTACCGTTGTAATGATTTCGTGCCTGCTGAAGGACTCTTCAGAAAGCTTGAAGTAGCAGTATTTGTTTGAATGATTACGAAAATCCAGACATGGGCAAGCTATCAGCTTTTTGAACCAAGTTAAGTCATAGCTCAAGCCGAGTCACAAATAACTTGACTTGACTTAGTTTGAGTCAAGACAAAATTGAGTCGAATTCCCATATTTGCCGCTACTTCACTGCATAAGTTTTTCTATGATTCTTAATTAAAATTTTTCGATACTTTTAGGATTAAAATTAATACTAAACTGCATAAAACATCAAGTCAAGTCAAATGATATTTTGACTTGCCCATGTCTGCGAAAGTCTGACATGTAATTGATATACGATGTTACTTGGAAGTATTATCGAGTGCATTTGCTTTCTAATATGAAACACTTTTTACTAGATTGGTGGGAGATAAATTTGTCGTTCATAAGTCAGCCATTGTTGACCGGAAACATGTTGGCAGAAGTATAATGATATTGAAGGAGGGTGTTTCGTTTTGTTTTCTAATTTATCTGAATTCATTTGAGTATTCGAACGGGCGACTTGCACATAGTCGGCTTCTGTACAATGCGTTTAACGGTGTCTTTTTTTAATAGTATTTTCAATCAATCGGGAATTATTTGGTTCATTCACGTTTTACTGCTAGTTATTCGTATGTGATAGTGTGTTAACAGCTGCAGGTTGATTTTTGTTCTTTTTTGTGTTTTCATCAATCGCTCGTGATCAGGTCAGTTTTGAAATTTATGATATTCAATGGTTCCTATTAAAATGAGTCGAATGTGTCCTAACGTCTTACTGTTTCAACATCGACAATGATATTTCTTTTTTCAATCGATAAGATTAAGTCTGTGCTACCGCAGTGTTTATTTAGCAGCATGCAAAATTCGGATAGTCGGTTCTCTGCATTTTCATTTATTAAGTTAAAGATTTTGAAAAAAAGATCATTGATTTTTCCATGAAGCGCACGACGAAGTGTGTCTCTGTGTGATTATTTGGTATATACGTAGATTTGTCGTTGGTAGATGGATTAGTTCATGTTTGGAGTTGCATTCTGAGATTTGGGCTATTTCTAGTTTCGCCAATAAGACGCATATAGATCACTGGAGTTTGACCGAAATGATCGTTCCAGAGATGATGAATATCTTCTTTGCAGCTTGTAAGACGATTCTTGTAAATATCGTGTATGATAAGATTGTCATTTCATTTGGAGTTCTTTTTCAGTCATGCTTCGTTTTGTTGTTTAGTTATATCAACATCACTGGATTATGTTATTTTGAACACACGAGATTGTAATGCCATTGCTTGAACGGTTGGTTTATTCAGTAGTTGATGACGTACAATATGAAATTGATGATCATCTTGCATTTGCGGTACCACTGGACATTTGATGTCATTCTCACTGAGAAATGTTTTGATTTGACTATGTATAAATCTTGGCGGATATCTGAAAGTTTCAGAATGTACTAGAATTGTTGGGTATTTTTGTCGGGCGGTTTATCCATTGTATAGTATCATTAACTTGATGCTTCTTCGTTCACTTTTAAATATTGATAATGTGAAAGAATTATGTACCGCTCATAAAAAAGTCGTACTAATAGTATTTCTGAAGATATCTTTGGGATGATCAGATTTAAAAGGCACAACATATGGTTCAGCTGCTTCTTTATAATGAACTGATGTTAATAATATATATGCCATTCTTATTTTTGATGAAGACAACCAAAAATGCTACACTTGATCCAATTTCAAGTACGAGTTTAATATATGGATGAAGAGCATTGACTTCATCTAACATTTTATTGATAGATTTTGTCTAAGGGTTCGTTTGAACTGAAGATGATATCATCTATATATTTATAGAAAAAGAAAAGAACAGTCAGATGGTTGTGCAATCAAAATTATAGATCAAGGAAATAGTACGATTCACCGACCATAGATGTCATTCAAAGCTGCTTGGCGAAGAGCAAGTTGTTCTTTTCCCATTTTCACATGTAAATCCCATTGCATCACCAACTCATTGCTGGTAGAATATCTTCTCATATGTAAAAATATTTTTCTGTAAGAACAAGACGAGCTAATTTCCGAATGACATCTAATAGAATATTTTTTACTCTTTGATTACCATGTTTCAACAGAGATTCAGTTAAGATCTTGAGAGATTCTTCTTGAGATAATACCGTATATAAATCTGTAATGTCAAATGTACATAAATATGTAGTTGGCTTTAAATAACCATTTGTAACATATGTTTTGAGACGGCGAATGATATCAACACCATCAATAACTGTAGTTGAACGAGCATGTTTATCAAATAATGGTTGAAGTAGTCGATCAAGAAATTTAGAAATGCCAGTTGTTGGTGTGTGGATTGAAGACACAATGAGCCGTAACGAAGTTCTTTCATAGATACACGAATAAGAGTGGTTAACTTTAGTGAAAGAGAGGACATTCAAAAATCACCTTATGTGGTTTAGGAACAAAATAGAGATAAGCTAATTTTATTACAATATTTATACTTCAAACATTAGTTCAATATAATAAAATGAGTGCTACAAAGAAACTACTGAAAGAAAAACTCGTCAATTTATACCCTAGATATGTGAACTAATTCACTTTACAATTGGAAGAATTAGAATAAAAAGGTCCGCTACACTTTGCCGACAACCCAGGTCGAACAATCCCATACTCGGATCCGGTCAGATCCAGCATCGGATTTGTTGACCTGGGAAGTACACTTTGTATGTTATATCTCGTGGTTTCTAAAGTCTCACATAACTACGGAGTGAGCTAGTCTTCTATTAGATAGAGTGTAAATACATAGCATAAAGAAAGACAATGAATGCAGACAACCATGGTATGTAATCAGTTTTTATCAACTCTTATGAAACTCTATCTTTTTTCGGATTTTTAAAATTCTTTTAATAAAAATGATAGATAGTTACATAATGAAAGATTGTGGGCGATACCCCGAAGAAGATCCATATTTGTTCCGTCATCCCGATCACTAATAACATTTTTAATTCTGATTTCTCTGTCTTCACTTTCTTTGGAGCTAGTTCACCACGCATTGACTTTTCAATCTTCATTTCCGCTATATTTTGTTTTTTTTTTGTATCTGTTTGATCGTCATGATAAATACGATATGTGACGAGGAGAAAACGAAGAAAATATGCATGCATATCAAATATGTATATAAGAAGTGAAAAGAAGAATATAGCAAAGAATCATGTTATTACATTATTGGATTTCAAAACTGTTTTTCGCAGTTGCATTTTTATAAAACTTTTGTCGGCAAAATGATTGTGACCCGAATAAAAATAAAAGGTTTTTATATAGTAGCTCTCATAAAAAAAGAATATTATAAACCAAGAACACCATTATAAAAATGAAATCATGCATTGAAAGCAAGAGCAAAAAAGCGGAAAGGCAAATCACTCTGTATATTTAAAATAATGTCTGATGATAATTGCTATTTTGAGTTTTACGAGTTTTACACATGAAAAGCATCTTAATACATGATTGGGCAAAAGTCGTGCTACATTTTTTTTCTTTTGTAGATATCTCGATTTTGAGTCTAACAAAATATTGATCTCGTTTTAGAGGTACATCGAATTATCCACAAATTTCTATAAACTTTAATCTAGAATAAAAGAACTGATCATTTACAGGTTGCTCAGTATAATCATGTCAACTGTGTTTGCTTCCTACTCATGTTTAAAAATTTCTTCAGAACGCTTTTCAAGCTACAAACAGACCCACTATTTCTGATTTGAATGTATAGCAAATATTCTTTCAGAATTGTTTGTAAACCTTTAAGTGCAATTGATATTTCTCTGAAAACACATAGTCTAAGTAAGGTACAACAACCAAAACAGTTTTCGTTATGCTACTCGGATTCTTCTTTCATCTAAAATGTTCTCTTTGAAGAGAATAAGTCATATATGAAGACTGCGTCGTTTTCGAAATATGGCAATAGGTTCAAACAAAACAATAAATATTTAAAGATATCAAATAGATACTCAATCAACAAAAGGATTCTAAAAACTATTTATATATAAAGTATCGTTTAACGAAAAAGATTTATTTTCACAAAAAATAACTAGGAAATAAACACAGTTGATATAATTATCCTAAACAACCTATAAAATGCTCAGTTCCATTATTCTAGGTTAAATATTATACAAATCTATAGATAGTTTGGCCTATCTTTAAAAAGAAATCCAGATTTTGGTACCCTCTTACACCGAGACATATACGAGGGAATGAAAGTGTCGCAAAACGGTTGCTTCACTGGATAGACCTCTTCTGTTTGTTCTTCATCTCCATTGACATTTTTATCGCATTTTATTAAAGATAAAGCTATATTGAGACTCAACAAAATTTCTGCTCGAAGGAAACCGAAAAATCCCTTAGCATTAGCGTACACAGACCAAGACATTAGAAATTCAATTCGTCTTCATATTTAACTTAACATTTATTTCAATATTTGTAAAATTAATATGGCATCATTGATAGAGATAACAAATAATATGACTCCTATCAGTTTCATTATCTTATTAATCATGGGCACAATTGGAAACATATTGAATATTATTACATTTTTTTCTAAAGATTTTCGAACAAAAGCTTGTATATTATATCAGATTATTTCTTCTGCACTTAATATATGCTTCACTAATTTTTTTATCATTATCTATCTGACAACACAATATTCAGGAGAGAATATCACACAGACGAATCGTCCAATGTGCAAAATATATGGTTATTTTTCGATATGCTCATCAGCAATCACAGCAACTTGCCTTTTCTTATCGACACTCGATCGATGCTTATCGACATCACGAAATGTGCGTTACCGGCAACTGAGTAATCTGTCATTTGCTAAACGCCTTTTAATTGTAACAATGCTGTTTCTATTAAATTCAAGTATCTTTTGTCTGATTGTCTATGATCTTTACGATGATATGTGTATATCAGCACCTGGTCTGGGAACGATCGCTGTTATTGTTTATGCAAATATTTTTATTTCTCTGATTCCTCATGGCGGTATGCTAATTTGTGGTATCATTACATCGATACATATGCGACAAATGAGAAATCGTATTGATATTAGTTCTGATGCAGGTAATCCAACGCCCGCTGTTCAGAGAATGAATCGACAATTATTGATCTTAATATTTATACAAGCTTTGGTGGAAATAATATTAGAAGTACAACGCAATATTTCAGCTACATATAATTTGATTACTAGTTCAGTAGAGAAAAGTGTTGAACAACAAGCAATTGAGTATTTTGTTACACAACTGAGCATCATACTTTACACCGTAAAACATGGCATATCTTTTTATATTTATTGTGCTTGCAGTAGTATGTTTCGAAAGAACTGTCGAAAATCTATCAAATCGTTATTGAATAGATGCTGTTGTTTCAATCGACATAATTAGACACAGCACTATAAATAGATGACCGCGTTTCTTTTCATGTCTTCTATTTACCCGATGATATTTGTAATGTATCAATTGACTATCTTCGTTGCTCTATCTTATTTACCTTCTTGTCATGTGTACGTATTGTATTTGAAGTAGAATAAAATAAAATAAGTTAAACAGATACGATGAATAATTGCGGCCAATAATGAATGTACGGGTGTAGTTCTTTTTTTTCTCACAGTCGTATGCTGCTTTACTTAACTTAATTGAATACAAGACAAAAGAGTGTACACAAAGAAAGGCAGTGTCGTGTTGAATATTGTTACATGTAATGTACTGGGTATTTCAAACAGTGTTTTATATAAGCATGCGATTAAGCATTTGTATCTTAAGTTGTTCGAAGTCTACAAAGATAAACTAATGCGTGAATCCATGAGGACCCATCCACTTTTTCGGAAAGGTCTTTTTTTGCGATTTTTTGCTTTCAAAATATCAGTATGGCCTAGAGAAACACTTTTTATGAAAAAAATAAATACTCTCTATCAAAAAATCCGATTTTTCGGGCATTTTCTCGGAACATCCATAGTGTACTTTCATATACAGGGGAAACGGTATGAAATAGAGTAGACATTTTTTAAAAACAACTTTTTAGGTTTTTTTGTGGTCTTCAAAAATATATAATGAAAGTCTAGAAACATGTTTCCTGGGATATGATGCCAATTCTGTTATAATTATTCAGTGCAGAATGATTTCTTTCAATATGGTAACACTTATATTTTGTCAACTTGAGTGTATTCCATTATTTTGAATGATTTTATCTTCTTCTCCTGCTACGATACAACAGCTCCCATGATACTTGCCGCTCAGAGCAAAGTCGCCCTTATGATTCCATCCTAATAACTCTAAAAATTTGTTGTTTATACCGTTTTAAAAAGTGAGAGAACGGAGTCGAAAAGGACACCACTATCAAAATGATAGATTTTTTATTTCTTCTTAAGAACATTTTTAGATGTAGAGTCTTATCCATATATGTTGTGATTTCAAACTTATAAAATAACAGGATGAATCATAGAATATTAGAGAATATTGACTATTCACTAGTACTTCTTTCTGTTCAAAATTGTATTTCAATGCCGAGACGGAAAATCAATACGTGTACCAAAAGGAATAGTAGCTGTGTCTTCAGAGCTATCGAAATTTTTAATAAGCCAATATGATGTGTAGAGGCGCCGCCCTTGCATCCGACTACACGTACTAAGTATAGTATGTAAGCCAATATAACACCGATACTATTTCATTGATTATGGACGATGCCTTGCGACACTGAAAAAAACGTGTGAATTCATGCGTTGGGAACTTCACCATTTTTATTTACAACAAATAAACCACTTAACGTAAAAGGATTCTGCTATTTTTATGATTAATAGAGAATCTAAGTTATTTCACGTTGCATGGCTATAATGGTGAAGTCACTCAAGCGTTGATCTGGCATGGTGTTGCGAAGATGAGTTTTAATAGTTCTTAATTAAGGAAAAGGCCGTTCACATGTCATCTGGGACACCGGTATTGTTATGGCACTTTTGATCATTGTAAATGTCTGTGGGAATTCCGATGATAATGTAGTTAACTCGTTCAAAAACTCAATCACATTAGTGATTGTTTTCGATTCAAGCATCGGCTTATAACGAAGAATTCGTTCTTTACCAGATTCGGATTGATATTAATGTGACAACAGAAGTCACCCACTGCTTCAGCATCGAGAAAATGTTCGTTTTCTGGATAAGCAATGGATATGCTTTTCAATAAGGATGATGTTTTATACGAAAATCGATCATTCAATTCTACCACCATGGAATTGATCAATGGTAAATATATTCAATTTAGATAATCTGAAGATGATGATATTTCTGTTCGATGTCCGAATGATGGTATCGAGAATTCAATCCCGAAACCGATTTGGAACCGTCGTTTCACGTCGACATTGGTACTGTTCCAAAAGGTTGATATCAGTTGCTTTGCAGAAATCTTTCGCTTCGATGTATATCTGACCAAAGGACTGTTCATTTCGACGGTCTTTTAATTGTTGAATTAATAATTTAATCAAGTATTCACCACGCACGTAATCAAGGGAAGAGCCTTTACAGAAAAAGCGTATGTTCGTGTTAAAGAAAATATGAGAGAACCGAGTATCTTACTTTTCTAAAAATCGCTCAAAACCTCCGTCAGATCGAACAGTTTATGAATGATGAACGAGGTAATAATGAATATTGACTTCTGCAT